TGTTAGATCAGGTTGCTGAAGACATTGTCAGAGGAGCTTTGAACATCTCCAAGGTTTCCCCAACCTCTGAAACCCTTTTCAGTGTTTGATAGTGCTCTTTGTGAATTTATTCTAATACCTAATTAGTTATTGACTACCTTATTCAATTTTTATCTTGTTATTCTAATCCGTCATTTACTGAAGTTGGTAAATTTTTACTTTTTTTTTTTCCAACAAATTTAGGCCAACAGAGAACGTTTTGTCATCTTGCACTGAAAATAATGTCATTTATGGGCGGTTGAGTTAACATCGTAATCCCCTGCAGCCATCCATCAGAACTACTTGGTCTGTAAAACTAGGTTACACAGCACAGATTTCCGTGGTTGATTCAAGAATTGCTATTTAGCAAATAATTTTTTGCTGAACTGATAGTTAGCCACACTTTAAAGAAAAGTCAGTTCATGAACACAGTGCTTTTATTTAGAGTTGTACTTCAACTGTAGGGTAAACATTGTACTTCAATCTTTTTTCCAATGCAACATTCTGCTCCTGTTTTTGTATTTTTCAGGCTAGTGCAAATAGAGTAGAGAGATATGTAAATCTATCTTCTTTTTCAGACTCCTTGGTGGTAATATTCTCTTTGGGAACATTCAGTGACTAATCTTTCTTCATGCCATAGAAGGAGCTGTAGTCCTTCATTCCCTTTCCAGATACAAATGCTCCTAATTGAGTACCCAGGAACTTTTAATTTTTTTTTAATTCTGATTTTGCAGAATCTGATTTTTAGAATACTTTTAAAATTAAACTTACATTGAATTTTTAAGCATATATTTTCAAGTCGGTAGTTGTTTTAAATACAAGAAATCTTATTGTCAGCCCTGAGCTTGCTGGAAGTTTGCAAACCTGGAAATACCTATCCTGAACACAATCATAGTATAGTTTCACAGTTTCACTGTATTCTAGAGATTGGAAGGGACCTCAAAAGATCATCTAGTCCAATCCCCCTGCCGGAGCAGGAACACCTAGATAATGTTACACAGGAATGTGTCCAGGTGGGTTTTGAATGTCTCCAGCGAAGGAGACTCCACAACCTCCCTGGGCAGCCTGTTCCAGTGTTCTGTCACCCTCACTGAGAAGAAGTTTCTTCTCAAGTTTAAGTGGAACCTCTTGTGTTCCAGTTTGTACCCATTACCCCTTGTCCTATCATTGTTTGCCACTGAGTAGAGCCTGGCTCCATCCTCTTGACACTCCCCCTTTATATATTTATATACACTAAGAAGGTCACCCCTCAGTCTCCTCTTCTCTAAACTGTAGAGACCCAGCTCCCTCAGTCTTTCCTCATAAGGGAGATGCTCCACTCCCTTAATCATCTTCGTTGCCCTGCGCTGGACTCTCTCCAGCAGGTCCCTGTCCTTCTTGAACTGAGGGGCCCAGAACTGGACACAATATTCCAGATGAGGTCTCACCAGGGCAGAGTAGAGGGGAAGGAGGACCTCTCCCGATCTATTCTACAGTTGTGGGAAGGGACCTCTGGAGATCATCTAGCTCGCCTCCCTGCTCCAAGCAGTGCCTATTACAGCAATGTATTCACCTGTCGTTGCCACAGGGATGCATTGCTGGCTTCTGGTCAGCTTGGTATTCACTGGGACCTTCATGTTCTTTCCTGCTAAGTTATTTTCCAGTTGGCTGGACCCCAGCCTGTGCTGATGCATGGAGTTATTCCTTCTCAGCTGCAGGACTTGTATTTCCCACCACTGACCTTTGTAAGAGCCCTCTTTGTTTCACCAGCTACTTGAGGCATCACAGCCATCTGGTCTATCAGCCCTTCAACCGGGTTTTGTGTCATCTGCATACTATCTGAGGGTGCACTCTGTACCATCACCCAGGTCATAAATGAAAACATTGAACAGTATTGCCTGCAGTGTAGACCCTGAGGTAAACCACTCATGGCTGGCTTCCAGCTGGCAGCCTTGCCACTGATCACAAATGTTTAAGCTAAATAGTTCAGCCAGTTTTCAGTCCACGTCACTTTCCTAGTTTAACTAGTTTGTCCTACATTGCTTTATCTATGAGAATATTATGGGGCACAGTGTCAAAAGCCTTGCTAAAATAAATTAAGCCACTTCCACCATCCAAACTAGTCATCTCATTGTAGAAGCCTGTCAAGTTGGTTGGTCAGGCATGTTTTCCCCTTCACAAATCCAGGCTGATGACTCCCAGTCACTTTTTGTCATTTGTATGTTTGTAAATGATTTCTAGGAGGATTTGTTACAGTCTCAAGGCACTCCCAAATATAATACAGACTTCATTTTGTGAGGGTAGAAAAAAGTAAAACTAAATGCAGGGGCTAGAGGGAGAGACTTACTGCTACGCTTACATTTGAGAAGGACCAGTTCTTCAATGAGCTGTGTAGTTAGACCAGCTCTGGTGCTGCTGGCTGACAGTGAGCAATTGATGTTACAGAGGCAGTAAGTGGTAGGACAGAAGCACTCAAGCATGAGAGCTTCCCCTCTGGTTGAGGTTTCCCAGTATTGTAAAGTCACTGGGATCTCCTGTAGGATGAACTCAGAAGATGACTCCTGAAGTTTTATATTTAAATGTTATTATCTATATGCATTTTGCTAGCATAAAAGAGGTTGAGCAAAATTGCTTCTAAGTATAGGGCTCTGTTGAGTTCTTCTATAGTTAGCACAGTTAACAAAGGAATAGCATCTTCATTACACTGAGCTTACTGTGGCTCTAAAGAAAAGATTAAGCATTTAATACATGTATTATTACAAAATTGTCTACATTTGAGCATCTAGCAATAATTCACTATAATCCTGAATTATTTAATATTTAAAGAAAATCTATGGTGCAGCTCCTTTGGTAGATATAGAACAAAAATAAAAAGCAGTTGGAAAATTACAGGCTGTGTAGGTGTTGAAATGCCTCCTGCTTCACTTTCTTAATTGGCAGCAAGCCAGATACTAAGCATTTCTGATTTAAAGTGAGATGCTCCTCTTTGCTTTACATTTCTGGTGGATAAAGGTTGCATTTTGTTTGCGGTTTTTAGCAGTTAGGATTTATTTTCAATTACATAGCCTCTGCAAGTTACCTTGAACTTTTGCATTCTTGCTGGGTAATACAAATATAGGCATCTTTTCCTTGCAAGTTGTGTCATAAGAAGTTGTGGATCTCATCCACATCGTGAGCCTTTTTTACTTTGGGAGCTTTAGATTTCTCAGTTTTACTTTAAAGCTTTGCTGGAATTAGTATGTGATACTTGGGGAAATCTGCTATAAACATGAAAGGCTTTAATATTCATGACTCTAAATTCGGTAATAAAATAGGTTTGAATAATGCAAAAATATTGCAAGCTGTAAATAGATCAGTTATTAATCATTGATTAAATCCATTTTCAGTAGTTGTCAGAATACCGTCCTTTCACTGAGTTTAGATGTTACTGGGAGATGTGTTTTTGTTGAGAGCTCGTAGATATTTATCAAATAAGATTGAAGGGTTGCTAATATTAAGATCAGTCTGAAAAGCTGTACTTTCATCCATTCTTGCTGTTTTGAATGGCATTAAAAAGGGCTTTGGTGTAGCTTTGTCCTGTCAAAACTTGTCAACTTTCTTGTGTTTACAGACAACAGTTAAAAATGTGGAGGGGTGTATATAGTAACCAGCCAGAACATTGGTTCCTAACATCTCTTCAGAATCATAGAACAGTAGAATGGTTAGGGTTGGAAAAGACCTTAAGATCATCTAATTCTGACCCCCCTGCCATGGGCAGGGACATCTTCCACTAGAGCAGGTTGCTCAAGGCCCTATCCAATATGGTCTTCACATCAGCTTAATTTTACATCAGTAGCAGTCATAATCTATAATTTCAGTTGATCTTCTGGAAGACATGATTGTTTTGGGTGATGTAGAGCATTAATGGAATGCTGCAGAAAGGCCTTGCATCTGAACTGTGAATTCCCTAATATACTACAGAGGCAAAACCAGATGAGAGGGTGGTTGTGCAAATTTATTGTCCTGTGATCAATTTATGTACCTAAGTCCCCTTCTTGAGCTCATATATTTCACTAAGAAAACTTGGAATGATGATGGGATGGGGAGTGATATATGAAGCATTTTAAAGTGGGTTTACTATGAATTTCTTTTGAAATTATATGTATAATCATATTGTACATTTAGTTGTAATGTCACAGTAAGCAAAATGCTTGCATGGGTACAGACGAGCTTTGTGTGCTTATTTAAAAATGAACTGCTAAGCTGCTTTAACAATTCTGAATTTGTTTAACAAAATTCATTTGATGCATTTAAACAGGAAAAAGGATGTTTTGATATTTAGTTTTATCCAGAGCCTTTCTCTTTCTTATTTGGTTCTAGAAGTTTATCCACTTTGGTAGTTTTTGTCTGCACTTCATACCTTTTCTTCATAGCTGCCTACCATTTCCCTCCCATTCTACCTTTTTTTTAATCACTTCATTTTTTTCAATTATGGGATACTATTGAGAGACATAGGATAAGGAGAAAGGTACAAGATCTGTAATCTTTAATCATGTTTGTCAATATACATCCGATTATACAGCTGACTGTTTTCCCTACATAAAGGAAAAAATGGTAGATTTCTGTTAAAATGTATGTTGAACGTAATTTTCATTTATATTTCCTATTTGTTTTCACTCCCTATGCTTTATCACTTATATTGTTATAATATTGAAGCTTCCATAAAACCACTGCCTTGATCATTGAGTTTGAAAGATCTCTCAAACATTTTCTGTTTTTTTCCAAAGCTACACTAAAAATTAGAACATTCTGTATTGGAACAGCTTTTATGGTAGATATATTTTTTTAATGTTGCTTTCTACTATATACTGTACAAAAAAAGAGTAATGCCTCTTTTGAGTTACATGAATAACCTGGGTAGTGTGTTTGGTTTTTATTGTGATTTTTTCTTTTTTCTTTAATGAAAGCTATGAGCTTGTAATCATCATAGAGATTAATGTGTTGTATGTATATATTTTTGTAAGTTCTGGCCAGGATATCCAAGGAACAAGTGTGGTGGCAAATCTTCCAGTCCTGATGCGACAAAATCCTGCAGAAACACTTCGTCGGGTCTTACCAAAAATCAGAGTAAGTTACTTGTAATAAGGTTTGAAAGTATCTTTTCCTTCCAGTATAAGTATCATAGAATCATAGAATAGTTAACATTGAATAGTAGTTTAACAAAGGCAAAAGTCCAATTTACTGCAAACTCCATCTCTAGGAGAGGTATGTCCAGTTGATCATCTTCCATATTAATTCACCAAGTCTCTGAAGTATTGCAGGCACTATTTTATTTCTTGTGACAACCCCCCCCCCCCCCAACAACAAACAAACAAACAAAAAAACAACCCAACAAAAAACCAAACTGCAAAACAAAACAACCCCCAGGAAAAGTATGCAGAATTTAGGCTATTTACATATTCTAAACATTTACCAGTGATTTGACAGCTTTTTGAGAACTCTTCTTGAGAACCAGCCAATCATAATGGTTCTTGCTGAAATTTTGTTTTGAAAGCGTTCAAATGTGTTCCTAATTTTATGGGCAGACTCAATTTCCCCATGCATTTTTGGAGGCACGTTTGAGATCTTCGCTAGTGTGACAGTCATGATTTTACCAGGACACTTTGTAGATTTTTTTTTTTTCCATATAATATAAATTCTTTCCTATTGTAACATAGTTTGCCATCAGGATTGTTATTTTATTTTGCAAACAACTAGTGCTTAAGAAAATTATTTACATCACTTCAGAAAGGGGGAAAGAGTTTAACTATTTGTCCTTTCTATAGAAAGCACTTCAGGGTTGAGAGCAAAAAGTCTTCTGTAGTGGCTGAGTAGCTGCTGTGAGTTTTCTTGCTGTATCTGTATTGGATTCTCATTGCCAGCTGTAAGAGAGTAGACAATTATATTAGTAACAAAGGTGAAATAGCCGAGTTACATGCTTATGTTATAGAGTTTTCTATTGACCAAGGATGTGATTTCTAAATAGCAAAGTGAGCCTATGTGAAAATGGTACTTATTCCAGTAAATTCTCATTTATATTTCATTGACGTTTGAAAGAACTGAATTCCGTCTTTTATTGAAGAGCTGTGTGGACATATATCTATCATCATTTTTTAAATTTTTCTTTCTACTTTTAAGGCAGCTACCTAAACATTACATTAATAGAAGAATTCCAGAAAAAATATGATATTATGAAAAATTGGTGTATTTCTTACTGTTTGTGGAATTGGTCTTAAACTGAATCCTCCTTCTGTCCCCTGCTCTTAAGAAAGAGGCTGCTCAAGGGACAGTTTAGTATTTATGAATAACTGATTTAATGACTTATGTTCTGCTCTTTTGGTATGAATTCATTGACTGAAAGATATGTATGTAGTCTTCAACAATTAGTTAGCAAATATTCTTCTGTAGGATATTTAAATGCAAGCCCTACTGTAGAGGAGTCTTACGTTCCATGTGGTAGATTTATTCGGTAATAATCTGTGCACCGACAGATGCGTGGGTCACCCTGCTGAAAACACATGTGAGTCATTATGAACACCAAGTTGAACATGAGCTGGCTTTGTGTCCCTGTGACAGAGCAGCCTGGGCTGCATTAGACAAAACATTGTCAGCAGCTTGAGGACAGTGATCCTTTCCCTCTACTCCTCCTTCAACTCTTCTACACCTGGAGCATCCAGTTCTGAGCTCCCCAGTACAAGAGATGCATTGACATACTGAAGAGACTACAGTGAAGGGCCCTGAAAAGGATTAAGGGACTGGAACATCTTTCCTATAAGGAAAGGCTAAGAGGGCTGAGGCTGCTCAGCCTGCAGAAAAGAAGCATTGGAGAGGATCTTATCAATGTATATAAATACCTGAAGGGAGCATGCAAAGAAGACGGAACCACATTCTTCTTAGTGATGCCTGGTTACAAGACCACAGGCTATGGGCAGAAACTGAAACACAGGAGGTTCCCTCTGGGTATCAGGAAACACTTTTTCACTGTATGGGTGACCAAGCACTGGCACAGGTTGCCCAGAGAGGATGTTGTCTCCCTCCTTGGAGGTAGTTAAAAACTGTCTTGGACATGTTCTGGCTCTAGGTGTCCCTGCTTGAGCAGGAAGATTGAACAAAATGACCTCCAGAGGACCCTTTCAGTCTCAGCCATCTTGTGATTCTGTCAATATCAGATATCACCTTTCAACTTTTTATTATTTCCTGAACCTTTTGTGATCCTGAATGGGAATACAGTTTTTGATTCTACTCTTAGGTCTTTATATATTAACGGGGAAAAAATTTTAAGAGGATGATCATTGGGGTCTGGAAAATACTTGTTTAGTTAGAATTGGAGTTCAGTGTGTTTAGATCAGGCAGTACTTAATTACTTTGTAAAAATATCTCCCTGCAAACTATTGAAGGGCATTTAACAGAAAACAGCACATCAAGAAGGGTTAGAAACTGAAGACAAAAGTATTAGAAATTAAGCAGGCAGTTGTAATAATAACTGAGAAAAGTAGTGTTTTTCATCTTTCAGTGTCATTTAAATCAAAACTAAATGACTTCCTAGATGATAAATTAAATGAAACTTAATGTGCTTAAGACAGAGGTAAAAGAATGAAATATAATGAGGTCAGTTTAAATCTAAGTGTTCCTTTCAGGTTTGAAGTTTATAAATAGAAACTTTCTGGAATGTATATGATTTGAATTTTTTTCTGTGGCTGCACTCTTACAAAGTAGGTTCTTCACTGGTGCTCTGTTATCTCATAATTATTTAATCTGTAATAAAAGGACAGTCTCTTGTACCCTTGTTCACTGCACTTTCAACTGCAAAATCATTAACTTGACCTATTTTTTTTTTTTGTGTTATCCTTTTTTTTTTTTTATTGGAGGAATAGTCCTGAATGTTAAATGGACACTGTTATAGTGATAAAGTCATAATTGAACTCAACTGCAATTGGAATTTTTCACATGTAGTCTGGCACTGCAGGGAAATAAGCTGATTTAAATTAATGCACTTGGTTTCAATTCTCTAGATCAGGAAAAATCATTTATGAATTTCAATTTGCACATAAAACTACTATACAACTCATTTTTCATATAATTATGGAATTGTAACAACCAAAACAACTCTTTAATACTAAGAAAAATGAGTTGTGTGGTAGTTTCAGGGTGCTGTTTATCTGAAGGTATTGTCACCATACGACTGGTAGGGAAGCCAGTGTATTTATTTAGAATACTTGCAGAAGCCCAAGGCAAGAATAGATACTGCTTTTGCTAAAGCTGAGGATAAAACAGCCAGAGGAACTAATACATGCAAGGAATGCTCTGTCTGGATACAATACACATTTTTATTTCACTTGTGAGTAATTGATAAACCTGGTTACTTTTATAAGTAAATATAGACATTAATATATGTGAATTGCTTATCATTCCTTAAAATGTACCTAAATTGAAATGATGTCAAAGACCCTATTTAATGTAAGTTTTTCAGGTCTAAGATGAGAGAAATGAAACATATGTCAACAAATATACCAGATCTAAGTAATGATTAAATTGTGCATCAGTATTCTGGTTATGCTAATAAAATAAATGCATCGTATATCACAGTATCACAGTATCACAGTATGTTAGAGATTGGAAGGGACCTCGAAAGATCATCTAGTCCAATCCCCCATCATTTAGATGTTAATGTAAGAATGAGATTATAAAATATTTTTTAAAATTTGATAATTAAAATGAAGTGGCGTCCTTTTATGGGTTCTTTTGCATAGAGATCCTCACTCTGGATTTCTGCATGCACCTCCTCATGAACCTTGAAAGTCATTGAAATGTGGATTTAGGGAAAGCTTTGACATTCTCATTAGCATTTCTTCTTGCGCATCAAATGGCTCTCTTCAAATGATATTATTAGCATTTTCCCTGTTACCCATCCTTGACCACCACCACTGAAAGAAGTGGAGGTAGATTGCAGGTGTCTGATTAACTAAGAAGAGACTTTTCCAAATGCTGTGATTGCAGAAAACTAGTGTTACTCTTGTTGAAGTGTATACATCAAGCCTTACTTGTTGCTGTTTGATCAGTTCCAAAACTCATTTTCACAGCTACTGAATTTTCCTAGTATAGCAGTCTCCCTTTGAAAGCTTCTGTTTTTCCCTAGTTGATTTTATAGTTTAAGAAGAGGCGGGGTGATTTTCATCCTGTCTTATGCCTAGTATTTATTTTAAGGTTCATCTTCATTGTACCTTTGAATTTCTGTAATCATCATTATTTCTGTGTCTTTCTAGTCCTAAGGGAAGGGTTTTCTTATACCAACGCAGTTACTAAAACGATTGACTATGTTTCTGCTTGCAGCATTCTTTCAAGAGAATTCTGTTGCTGCAGCACATAAAGTGTGTTAAATTAGAGGTGAATTTTCTGTTTTCCAATTAATGGAGTAAGCCAGGCCTTCTAAATTTCGCAAGTTTGCTTGCCTGAGTTTAACTTGTAGACATAACAATAGTTCAAGAACATGCTAATACCCTCAAATTCTGTTAAATATGCTTTTCTGAGTAAGACAGGAAAAACTTTTTTCCTCTGGAATAAAAATCAGTGGAGGATCCATGTATGGAAAAATAACATTACCTTCTAAATAAATAAGTTTATATTAAGTAAATTTAAGTCACTTGGGTTCAGTTAAATTAGAGTGAGACCCAAATATTTGCATATGTGGGACTGTACGGTTCTGAGTGCAAGCACCAATGTAAGCAGGTGTGTAAGCAATCTAGAAATTTACATTTCAGTGTCTCCTGAGGTCCATGAGGAGGCACATCCAGAGAATGTGTTCTCACACATGGTTATCCAGAGTTGTGTGGATCTGTGGAGGAGACTATGTGGAAACTTTATTTGATGGTAAGTAACCCTGTTTGCATTGCGCACAAAGTGAATACATACATAAAATTGAATTCAGCTCCATTACATTCCAGTCTGCAGTGCTGTCTTAGTATCCAGAGTTTGTAAATAGCTCTTTTAATTATTTTGGGTACGTTTTTTTTGAGCAAGTGTAAACCAAAATCCCAGGACAGTGTGCACAGGTATTTCAATACCAGAAATATTCAAATTATAAAATTGCTGGTGTCCTTATTCTTGGCTTTGGCTGTTGTAATAACAATTGAATAACAAGGACAGTGTAGGCTGTGGAGATAACAAGAGGGTGGTTTCTGTGGCTATTGAATGCAAATTTTTTATAACACTTTGATTGGTAAGCTGTGCAGTGCTTCTTTCATTCATTTTGGAGAGCAGGGATGCAGGAAATGCTTTTACAAACATATATGGCTCTACACTGAGACAGATGTTGAGAGATAAGTAACGGTTCTCTTTGAAATAAGATAATCTAAAAGTTACACATTTGCACACAAGCTGGTTGGCATTTCTGTAATGAAAACTTTTTTTTTTTGTTTTGCTTTGAAGTAAGAGAAGTCTACTACATTTCTCAGATGTTCCCTGCAAACTATTTTCTCAACAAAATTTATATGTAATACTTAGGCTCATAATGAACGTTTTCTTATTCTGGTCTAGTGTTTTTTTATTTATTAAAATATCAGTTTATCTTTGATTTTTGATATAGGATCTGAGAAACCACTGTTCATCTCAGCGCTTTAAAAACAGAAACAAACCCATGTATATAACGTGCTATATAGGAAGTATGGGCTTTAAACTCTTACTAAGTTTGGAATCAATTGTAAAATGAATGTAATGCTTTACTAGTACAATAATACAATTTATTTTGCCGTGAGTGAGACATGTTTAGACAAGTAAATAAATGTTCACCTAGCCAATAGGTAGGTACATACTTAAAATGAATGCTATGTTATATATTGCATTCTACAAGCTCTTTGTCGTGTACATAGATCTGAAATTGAAATTTCCTTGTTGTTTCATTTAAATTTAGTAATATTTTATTCCCTTATTACATTTAACTTCTGAACTGATGCTTTTAAAGACAGCCTGATTAATTATATTCTTGTATGGTTAAAGCTAAGTATTTATCTAATTTTACTAAGTACACTAGTAAAAGCTGAGTTACATAGGTAAATATTCTACTACATATTGCTTTATTCTTAAGACTGTGTGTATATGTATAAACTCACACATTTTTATTTGTATTCTGTGTCAGTTGGCAAGGGACAAAATTTAAATTTCCTTCTGCTACTTTAGTGTCTCTCACTGGATGAATGAAATATTTTTTAATCCTTTGTTTGAATTTTTTTAAGGTTCATAGACAGCAGAATTGCAATTGTTAGTTGGTGTATTTTTACCTCTCATTTTGTACGGTAGGAAAAAACACACATAATGCATTGTTGAAGCTGAAAGTCACCAAAAATATTATAATTTATTTTTCTTTGAAGTTTCTGTAAGAGATTTTAATATCTCCAAGTAATTACTATTAAAATACTTTTACAGCCAATTTTATAAGTTACCCACATTGTTGTATATTCACTCTTAAAACCAAATGTACAAATTTGAATGTTCTTTCAGTACATTTTTTTTTCTGTATGTTCTAAATTGATATGATTTTAAACTATACAGGAGGTGCTGCATGTTGCAGGAGTGGAAATGCAGTTAACAGCTGCTGTTTCATTTTTGACTGTTCTGCAAGAGGAGTTGGTGTCCATTCATACGTATTCCCACTCCTTCCTACACATCATTCTCCAAAACCTGGAACACAGAGATGCAGGTCAGGGCTGTACAACTGTACTGATGACTGATCACTTCTGCTTGTTTTGTTTCCTTAGTGACTGTATAATCCTGTGTAAAGCAGTGAGTGCAAGCCCTTTCACTTTGTATCTAGACTTGCATGGTTGCAAAGATTTTGACTACTAACATACTGATATTTAAATCTAATTCTGATTGAAGCAAACAAAAATCCTTTGCCTGGAGAGCTAAAACCCAGTTGATACTGTGCTCGAGCTTCTACTGAAGTACCAGCATTTTGTAGCTGAGAAGATGGAGGGAGGATGTTTGAAGTTTCTTTTGTGATGATTAGTTTTACTTAACATCTTTGACACTATTTTGAGAATAGAAAGGAAAAAAAGGCCTCTTAGAAAACTAGAAAGTTTCACTGGGCATCAGAAAAGAATGTGCTTCCAAATGAGGGAAATATTTTTTTCAAAACAAAGAGAATAATTATTTTTGCACAGGAATCTAAAAGATATAAGAAAATGGGGGCAGAATTTGCTTCTCACATATCCTGCTTCTTAGTTTGAAGTCTTAAATATGTAGTTTGGTGGCTTTTAGATACAAGCTCCTTAAAGAGATGTGTGTATAAATAACTAATTTTGTAAAACTGAGGTGTGTTTTGTTATACTTATTATATGTACAACATAACATATAACCCATTTCATTGTAACAGGTGTCAGCAATGCATGGCTAGAAACTCTTCTTGCTGTAATAGAAGCTTTACCAAAAGAGACTGTCAGACATGAGGTAATAATACTTTCAAGCTTATGCTAGCAATAAATTAATAATATTTTATAAGATTGTATTTCTCTGCAAATTTCATTCTTGGGTTAAACCTAAAAAGCACCTTTGAGGTGGATTGGTTCAGGGAAGAGGCAAAAGGAGATATTAAGTCACAAAATGAGCTAAGCTATTTTTTTGTCATCTTTCTGTGAGCATTTGAACTCTGGCAACTTAAGTTGGCTCTTCCATAGAACTGTAGAATCATAGAATGGTTTGGGTTGGAAGGGACCTTAAAGATCATCTAGCTCCAACCCCCTGTGCCTTCATTAAGATTTGTGGAAGTTCTATGCCTGTGAAAACAGTCTGTGGAACATACTGTAAGAGAAGAAATGTGCTAAAAGGTGAGACAGGAAGGTGATATTAAAAATGTTAATGTTCTTCAGCAAATAATACTTCATACTGCAACACTTCCACTTCACTTAGTACTCCCCGTAACATGTTTCATGTATCCAGTTTTAGTTTACAGGTTAGTATCTCTGTCTTCATGAAAAAACTACATTTTGTTTGCTGCTGGACTAAAATTCTGATTTCTGTTAAATGGAACTGAATGCAAAAGATCCATTTCATTGTGTATTTCAGTGTTTGTTATACACCAAACACCTAATGCCCTGGAATCACTCTTAATTTTTCACTGTGTAGATCAAGAAAGAGGGAGGAAATCTGTCACTAATTCATAATATCACTTCCCTTTACTCTGATACCAGTTTTTCTTTAAGTATTCATATTTCATTGTTAAATTTAAAAGCTTTGCAACAGGCATATTTTACTGTGTTTATAATTTAAAACAATATCGAGAATTAAATATAAGATTGTGTAGTATAAAAATATTTATTAAAATCAGTGGCTAATTGAAATTTGGTACTGTTTAGAAAATAAACTTCTAAAGGGTAAAAAGTTAGGTGGAAAATTAACAAAAGATTAATTATTCTAGTCACCTCCAAAATCGAAATGAAATACAGTTTTACAGATGCCATTTAAAGATGGTGGAGGTTCTCCCCTGATTTGTCTCTAGGAACACATGTATAAGTTTCTGCAAAGACTTGCTTTGGGAAGATCACAGCTGATAAAAGTACTGATTCAGGAGCTATACAGAAATCTAAATCTGAAAAGAGGCCTTTCATGTTACTTGAAGAATCTTTTCACGTGGCAGGGGGTTGGAACGAGATGATCTCTAAGGCCCCTTCCAACCTAAACCATTATGTGTTTTTGTATCAGAAAACATGGAATATTCTAGAGGTTTTTTTTCTTGAAGTTTTGCTTGTTTTTTTTTTTTTTTTGTTTGATTTGGGGTTTGTTTTCTTTTTCATAAGTAAAAACCATAGGGCTATCATAGATTCCAAGGATATAAGGAAAGGTGTATGTCTCAGACCAGAGGTCAGCCTCACTCAGTATCCTGTCTCTGGCAATGGCTACTTCTTGGGAGACACTGTGTCTAGGTCAGTGATTGAAGTTAGTATTACTAGATACGGTGTGTTTGCTGTCACAGTTCAAAAGGCAAATAAGTAATATACAGTTTTTAGATAACTAATGGTATGTTTCTTATGCAGTATTATAGGTAGAAGCATATTTTATGTACTAATTCTAGTTTGAGTGATCTATTTATCCTTACAGTGGTAAGATTCTCTTGCCTAAAAATTTCAGCTGGTCTTTTAGAATATTGGTGGACTTTCCTGCCCTGTATATTATCCTGTTTTGAAGCTCTGCAAAAGAGACTGAGTGAGGAACTGTGGCAGACGAGATACATTTCTGTAATGTTCCTCTTAGCCTGACACCTGGTTTTCCGTGATTATTTCTGCACAAAAGAATAATATATTTAAAGGCCTTCCTTAGTTTGTTTCTGGCACCATAGAGGTGATCTAACAATTGATGGCAGAGCTTCCATAAAGATGCATTTTTTTCTACATCTGTATGGAAAGGAAATCTCTTCCCTACAAATCCCCAAAGTATGCATAATCGAGAGGGATCATTGCCTCAAAATTTTACATCAAAGGAGGTGTTTCCTGGGAAAACTTACAGAAAGAACCTCAGAGAGGCTTCCTTTACCTTTTGGTGCGTATTTTCTTTTTTTCTTGTGCAGGAATGTATTTATCAACTTCTGTGAAAATTACCAGCTAAAACCTATGAATATTCATATACAACATAGCTTCAAAATAAAGACACAAGTAGACAGATGTGAAACTGTGTCTGTGATGTGACTCATAAACCGCTATTTGGGCCAAAATTTTGGGTTTAATATGCTATAATTAGCACTGAATATTGAATATGGGTTTCCAATAGACTATTAAGACATAGTACATAGACATCATTACTGTTAGTGCTGGTTAATTCCATGAAAAGGGTAGATAACAGTTGGGATATGTTTTTCTAGATGATATTTTTTTTAAAGAGGAATACATTATTTATTGCTCACATTTATTCTGTTGATATTTCTTCTTTTTTCTTTCGTATAGATCCTGAATCCACTTGTTTCCAAAGCACAGCTTTCTCAAACACTTCAGTCCCGCTTAGTTAGTTGTAAAATCATGGGAAAATTAGCTAACAAATTTGAAGCTCGTATGTAAGTAGATTGTACACATATTTTAATTCCACAGTATATACCAGTATTTCTTGGTTAGTGGGCAAAAACTTGCTGCAAGAAAAGTAGACTTTACTGCAAAAATTAAATGCTTTCTTTTTACAGACCCTTTTATCTGGATATTAATTACTGATTAAAAAAAAATGTTCACTATGTCACTAGCCTATTCAGACTTGGTGATGTTTCTCAGTTATAATTTCAGTTTTTTTATTCTTCCAGAGGTTCAAATAGGTTCACTTTCATGCCATTCTTCCATATTGTTTTTCTTACTGGGAAGTAAGCCAAAGAGTTAATTTCTCTGAAACTTACAGAGAGAGACAACATCACCTTAGACTTTCTTGACATAAAGAAAAGAATCCTGTTCCTTTTTATTTGTATAACCAAATTTAACATGTAGATCCTTTTTTTTTATTTCTATCCCTAATTATGTGGAGATGTACCAGGTTCTGCTGTTTTTATCTGTTATTATCCAGTTCTTACATTCAGTGTCTGTGAGTTTCAACAGCAGTGCAGAAGAGGGAAGCAATGATGAAAGTAAATCTGCCCAAAGTAGTTGGTATGGTACATTCCTTGGACAGTTTATCCAGCCTTATGATAGTGGGGCCATTTCACCAGACGTGTTTTCTATCCAGGTAGCTAGCCACATGAGATTTTGAATTACAAAAGAAATCCACTGAGGGCTACTAAATGCACAGAAATTACATCTAGCTGAGGATTTCCTCTCTAATAATGATTTTGATTTGCCTTAAAATGCAAAAAATCAGCATAACAAAAAAGGTGATCAACAGGACCATATTACAAGACATTTAGGAATATATTTCTTTAAATTATGATTTTTTTTTTTTCTTCAAGAAAAAGAACTGGAAGCAGCCAAAAGGAAGCTGTCTACATCTTTATTTGCTTTGTAGAATACACTTCATGGGCATACAAAAGTTAATGAGCATGATAAAGTAGTATTTTTTGATAATATTACCAAAGCCTTCAAACCTTTATCTTCAAAGTTGGTAGGATTCTGGCAGAATTGCTTTTATTTAATCGATGGTACATTCTTATGAAAATCAAGTGACTTTCAGATTACTTGGAATCTTATGAGAAATTTTAATAGTGTTAGGCATTATAAGTTCAAATAATCATACCTTCTTTTGCTGTGTTTCTTTAATATGATTCCTTGCTGTTAGAAGCAGGAAACCCTCCATTTCAGTGAACAGATAGTAGCACCTTTTCTGAACAGAAGCTACATGTTAAGAAGACAGCTGAGAATTTTCTGGGATGTAGTGATTCTCTGGTAAAGTGGTCTGAGTGCATGCAGTTCAGAGGGCTGAAAAGATACCAGGATCCACAGGTTAGGATGTCACAGGTGGAGTAAGATTAATGATGCACTGTTGTTCCCCTAGCAGGAGGGGTCTTGCTTGGTATAGTCTCAGGAGACGTACTTGACCTCTGAAGTAGGCAAGGTATAAAATCTATAAGTATATCTTCATGTTCTTCTTCAGAATGGCATAATTTTTCTTCTTAAAATTTATACTACAATTAAAAACTTTTCTTTTGTATTTCACATGACTCCCAAGTTATTTTTTAGAGTGTTGAAAAAATCCCAGTATTGGAATAGAACATCAGTTTTTCTATCCTCTGTTTCAACAGCTAGTTAAAAACAAGTCTTTTTTTTGGAAGTAGTCCCTACTTCAGAAAATTCTTACAAAGCCAGATTCCCAAGACCTTGTACAGTTCTTAAAACTTGAGGCCAAATTTTGTTGTAAGAAGTAAATTAATTTTTACTGAAATGAGGGAAGGCTGAGCAAGCTCTCTTGAAGATTTCTTGTATGTCTCTTCATATTTCTGTTGGGTTTTGCAACAGCATAAGGGTTTGGATAGAGATATTTTATGAATACTCATGAAAGGATCTTGGGCAGTGAAAGGAAACACAGTGGCTGATTCTGCCAAGTTTTAGTATGTGTTCTTACTTAAATAGATTCAAAATAGTTATTTTGTATTTGCCATTGAATACTTGGGTCTACTTCTCTGTAGAGGCGCTGCAGCACTAAAGATTTTAATCTTAAACTCTTTTTCTATTTTTTTCCCCCAAATATCTCCTTGGTGATACGTGTATACCAAAGATGAGATATTAGATACTAATTGGGATTTGCACTTCCATTTATATAATAGTTTGTATTCTTGCAGTGGCTGCTCAGAGATTGTACTGAAGATGGTAATTGAATGAGGACAGCATTTGTAAGCCTACCTACTATTTTTGTAGGTTTTTTTTTTAAAGTTGGAATATGAGCAAATTACAATGACTGTTTCTTTATAGAAATGTGTCTGATGTCCATATAATTTTCTTTAGAAATAATATATAGGTAAAATTTGAGTACTACAGAGTGGAATTTATATATTCTTGTCCTGTAAATTAATAAAAATATTCACATTTTTAGTGTTAAAAGAGACATTCTTCCATTGGTAAAATCACTGTGCCAGGACGCGGAATATGAAGTTAGAACTTGCATGTGTCGGCAACTGGAACATATAGCTCAAGGAATAGGGTGAGTATAATTTGCATAACAATCTTCTAAATGCAAAATCTCTCTCTAAAATATTTAATGGTAACCTAAAAAGTCCTTTTAAGATTTCTAACTTAATTCATGTGTACTCAGTAATGAATTTGGAGTGTACAGATGTGTTCTTAGGAATTAGTGGTTGGTGCTTGTCTCTTTTCCATTTTCAAGTTTTTGTTTCTCTGTGATAGTAAGATTGCTGAACTATGCAAACAGCTTTTTTTTTTTTGTAAATAATGAATTCTTCTACACTTCTTGAAATCATCTCAATTACCCATTGATGTCACTCTGTTTACTTAAAAATGGAATGAGATTATGGTATGTATTAGAAGTTTCTAATAATTACTGTGCAGTTATTTGTGAAAAAATGCTAAATGTGTTTAGTAAGTGAATTTCAGTTCAGTATCAACTTTAAGATGGAAGAATTTCAATATTGCACATATAGGAATAGAAAAAGTGTGGAACTTTTAATAAATAGTACATGTTAACTACCCACACAGGAGTGGTCTTTGGGTGAACAAATGCATTAAAATTCCAGGTCTCCACCTGTTACTGTGTCAGGAAGAAAAAAAGCAGTAACTTCTCTTACAGGCTTAAAGAAATGATCAAGCAAGGTTCCCTGCCCTGTGTTACACAGTAGGAAGAGATTAGATCATAAGAGTCCCTCTAGCTTTTTAAAAGGTGAATTTATGGCAAATACAAGGATGAGGCTGAAAATGAAATGTAATTTGAAAGATACAGTAAATATACACTTTAGCATGTTGGTACTGGTGCTTATGGAAAAGATGCTTTCCTGTGGCTGTGGAATGATTTTTTTAATTATTTTTTTAATGGAGAACTATGTTGTGATTTAAATTCTGAGTTATTGAAATAAAAAAAAACAAGAAAACAAACAAAAAACAACAAACCAAACCAAACCAAATAAACCCAAAACACCGGAAATTCTTGAAGCAATGTGATTTACCTCTCAGCTGTGGAATACTGCAAAAGCGTATGTTCATGCAGTGTTTTAGCTTACTCAGATATAGGGAATGAATATTCATGGCAGGAACTAAACATTACTGCCATATACTTAATTAAACTTTGGTTTGGCAAGCTCATGCAGGATAGTAATTTCTAGATTCCTAGATAAACTTGTCTTTTTTGCATGTAAAATAATCTTTTATATGTGCTATAGGCATCTCTCCTGCAAGGTCTTTGCCCTGAAAAAGTTCAGAGGATGTGAATAACATGAAATCACAATATTACTCAATAAAGTTACTCCTTTGGTTTTGTGCTTATTTTATAACAAAGCATAGGTTAATGTGGTAAATCATTTTAACATTTTCCATACTGAATGGCTTGAATTTAAAAGAACTTGTGATTGTAGAAATTAAAGGTAGTGTTTGTCAAAATTGTTGATTTGTGAAACTGGAAATTTAACATTCATTTTACTAAATTGAATTACTGAATAATTTGAGCTTATATTTCTTTTTACTGAATACATGTATCTTTATATATCTTAAAGTTTACTTTTGTTTAATGGGAGATTAAAGGTGAGTGAAAGAAAGGGTTCTGTTTATCTTCAGGGAGTGAGCTTTTTTTCCCCATAACTACCAAGACTTGAAGGGAGGAATAGTTCTGTCATATTAGCTTGAAGATTTTTGATGCCACCAAAACAGAAATTCCTGGAAACACATTTGCAAAGCATTTATTCCCTCCTCCCCATTTGTTGTCATGTCTGTCCACATTTCCTCCCACAGCTCAATTTCTGGGTGTGAAAAAAAGGGTATTTGTACCCTTCTCTCACCTTCCTGGGCCGTATGTTCTCTGTCTCAATCACTTTCCTTCTTCTTTTCTTTTTTTGTTATTGTGCAATCCCATGAGATTTTTTTGGTGTCTTATTTGAGATACCATCTGCATTTCCATGGGGAAAAGATGGAAATACTGGATATGTCTTCCCAGTTCTAGTAGGGCTGCAAAAGAGGTCTTTCTAATCTCTTAAAGCAATCAAGAGCTGGCTATAGCTGGGATATAGGAAATTAGGCTGATTGGTAGCTTCTACAGCAGCTATACTTTTGTTCCAAGGATCAAATCTCTTTTGAACTTAATATGCCAGTCACCTTACAGTGTAAATGTTTCTGTGTCAGAAGTATTTCCTCCTTAGTCACCTCTCTCATTAAACTCTGATTTCTAAATCAGAGTTTACAGGACAATAATCTGTTGCCAGTGTATAGATTCAGGTTGCCAGGACCATCACACACAGCAGCAGCCCTAGTAATTACCAAGGCAAAACCAGACAAGCAGAACCCTTTCCTTACTACTTTAAAACAAGCCTAAGAGCTAGTATTTGGACTAGTTTGGAAACCATGTTTTCTCTGAGCAGTAGTTGCTTACCCTCTGGAAAGAAGGCTCATCCTTGAAGTGTAATATTTCCAGACACTTCAATCCAGCATGATATTTAATATTTTTTGGCTTTGGATGATTGCATTGAGCAGTTTCTGCCTATTTGATCAGAATATTTTTTAAATGACAGAATGAAATAGCTGTATTCCTTTGATTTTTTTTGATTTTTTTTTAAGACTGCATTTTCTCTGATTTGTTTTGAGCTAATTTGAATGCTTTTTATTGATGAAGTTTTGTGTGTTTGAAGATTGTGAAGTTTGAGTGTTTCTTTGGTTGACAAAGAAAAAGGTCCTGAGATTGCCTGGAGGTTTTTATTTGATTTTTCTTTCTTTACAACTTTGTCAATTTTTCATTCTTGACTGCCCAAAAAATACCTAATTTATTATTTCAAGGTAGAATTCTGTTTGGCTGTAGCAATGGTTTCCTAAGTTTTCTCTTGACTGCTTGCCTCACTTTGCAGGGCAGAACTAACAAAAACTGTTGTGCTTCCTGAGTTAGTAGAACTGGCAAGAGATGAGAGCAGCAGTGTACACCTTGCAGCTTTTGAGACCTTAGTGAATCTGCTTGATATGTTTGATGCAGGTAAGAATTTAATACAAGCTTACTAGCCCAGTTCTTAATGCTTTAGTGCATCTTACAAATGTATTTAAATGTTGTGTTTGCATTTTTCAGGCATTTCTCATTTTATTTTGTTTATTGTTTCATCCTTTGTTTATTTCATGTCTTGCAGTGCTTTATACATAGTAAGTTTTAAGGAAGGTGATCCAGTTGTCCATGAAATCCATTATCTTATTCCGAGTTTCTACTGTAATATAACTACATGGAATAAGTAAAATTACTGTGTAATTGATAGGAATATTGGGTTGATAGTACTTGGTTAATGGTATCAATACACAATACAAAATGTTAGGTCAACAAATGCCATTGCTTGGAGTTAACTAGTTTGCTGTTAACTAGTTTTTGCCTCTTAACTGAAGCAAAGCTAAAACTAATTGCAGACTGCGGCCTGCCTTCTGAGCTGAAGAACCCATACTGGGGAAATGATATAGTATTTGTGTGTGTATCAGTAAACCTTGTAGGTTTTAACATCTAGTGTTTGTTATACGTAAAATGCATTTATAAATTTTCGAACAGAAAATATTTCCTTATGTCCCATAAACTGCAGTTTGCACAACTGATCAGTTTAAGAGGTACTAAGTGTCAGCAGTTACTATTTAAATCTCTTTAAACTTGTGGCTATGTGGTACTGAAAGCCTTCTTCTTTGCAATGAGGTAGTGAGTATATCTTATAAAACTTTTTTTTTTTTTAATTTGAAATAGGAAAAGTAAATGCTTGTATTTTTCTCAGTGCTCTGTATCTTTCCTGTGATCAACGTGCTTACTTCATGCTTCTCCAGGTCTGGGCGTGAGTGTCTGTATCTTCATATGAGGAAGGAGAAATTCTTTGTTGTATCCAGTTCTTTTGGCATAATGATGGGTTACCTACATGCATGGTTCTCAGGTTCTCATCATAAGTTGAGTTTAGCATTGATTGAGATAAACTTTAAGGAGAGCTATTGTGACTGCTCCAGTGTAGGAGCATTCTGGGTAACCACCACTGTGCCTTGTCCTCCAATCAACTCAACCACTCTGTCTAGATTTTTTCAGCAGGATGTAGAAGACAGTATCAGGCAGCTTTTCTGGCTGAGTTTCAGTTGAGTTTTCTGCTGGATTTTTTTTACAACTAGAAATGTACAAAGCAGCAAAGTACATGATAGGTCACTGCTATAGTGTATATGAAAAAATATTTTATATTGTTGATCACTGCTCATTATTTGCCACTTTGCCTTTTATACTGTCATTTTCCAAATTCTTCAGTTGTTTATCTTCATTTCTAACTCTGCCTTTTGCGCATTTCCCACTCTCACTCCCATCTTTTTGACTCTATTACTCCTTCCAGATACATAAACGAGGAAAAAATATTTATTGTACAGGAACTTGGTGATGGACTACTAAGCCACATAATTGCATATAAACCATACGGAGAAGTACATAAAGAAATAAGATAGTCTGGGGGAGAATACAATAAGTGAAGTTTTAGCAGTTGCTGTTAATAGTGTGATAGTAGGTTAATTTTTAAATTATTGAGCCTTTTCACTGATGCTATCAAGTTTGTGCTTCTCTTTGCACCTCTCAGTCTTCACTCCTCCTCGTGCATTCCCCAACTGCTGTAACTGTGGCTTTTAGCCATTGAAAAAAGCTTTGAGAAAGCAATCCGGGATAATTTATTTACAGGTTTTCTAATGAATGTGTTTCTAAAATTGATTTTTGTGCAGTTTTTGTTTTCGTGGCTGAACTAGAAAATGAACATTTTGGAGGTAGATGACCCAAAATTATATCCTAGAGTTTCTTTCCCACAATATCAAAATATTTCTTTAGGTCAACCTAAATATTTTGTTCAGCCATAATTATGTGCTGAATTTCAGTGTTGATTTTTGCATTAAAAAATACTACGCCCTTTAAAACTTTTAATATGTTTTTGTACACAAATACAAGGGTTTTATTTAAAACAAGTCAAAACACATAAATTTCTTTAAATATTTGCCTGTTCATTTTATAAGGACACAGATTACTTGGATTTGAATTTAATGATTTAATTTCTTTCCTCCATCTTTAATTAATTTGTTTCTCTCTGAATTTATTATTTACCAAAAGATTTTCAAACTCCTCAGTAGATTGAAAAAATTTACTTCTGATGTATCCAGATTTTTATTTTACTGTCATGTTTGGTCTTGATCTCCCTGTATTCCTACTGTTGTAGGAAATCTTATTGTAGGAGTATTGTAGTATAGTTTCACTCCCTGTACTCTTGGTGAATGGAGAAGTTAATGACTGTTCATTTATTCTCTGTCTCATCCTTTACTGAGTGATGCCTTTTCCCTAAAATTCAAACAAACAACAAAATAAAACAAGTAAGTATTAAAATTTAGGCCCTGCATTATAGTAGTATGTTCATCATTCTCTTCACCTCTTGTTTTCTACCTCCAGTGTGTGTCTGCCAAAAATACTCCTGAAATACTAAATGAGATTTTTCATGACTTATTATGGAAGTCCACTCTCTGCTTTTATTTTCAGGTGTCGACAAATGTCTAACATAAATTTTTTTTTTTTTTTTTTTTTCAGATGACAGGAGTCAAACTGTGCTTCCTTTAGTGAAATCATTCTGTGAAAAAGCCTTCAAAGCAGATGAAGCTATCCTAGTTTCTTTATCTTTCAATTTAGGGAAACTGTGTAATGGATTATATGGTATGATTTCATTTTTTTTTTTTTTTTATTTTTTTTAATCTTAAAAATAAGGAAAAATTGGAGAACTGGAAGCCCTTGGAAAATATCCAGATTTAAATATTTCAAATGAAATTATAGTTATAAAAGTCCGAAATCATCTATTGCATAAATACTGGATTTTTTGAACTTCCTCTTTGAGTATGCGTATCTGTATTGTTTAGGTTTTTGTGCAGATATGTTCATACAGTGTCAGAGATAGAAACGCAGTGGTTTGTGTTTATTGGTTTGACTGATTATTTTGATCTCTTTGTGGATATTCTGGAGCTTGTGAGTTGGATGGCTGAATTTCTGAAACTAGAAACATCTGAAAACACAGTATAATGTTAAATGTGTATAGTCACTTCTGTGACTGATAACCGTTTTGAGGCACAGTAGAGTGTGGCCCTTAAGGAACTTCAGGGGAAAAAGAAGACCTAATGCCTTGTGGATTCGTAGCTTCAGCTGAGGCCAAATCTTTACCTGCAATTTCTGTGGTTTTCACTTGAGCATAGCAGATCTTTCCTTGGTAATTCTGCTCACCACATACCCTCTACACAGAGCTTACCTGCAGAGGGACAGCACAGAATTACAGTTTTACATTTTACATTATGATTTTACCGTAGACTATTAAACCCTTTTTATAATGATCCTTTCTGCTATGCTGGAGACTATCAAAGTGACTGTTGCTTCACTACAAATAACTCAAAAGAGCTGTTCCACAGTGTCAAACTTATTTACAGAAACGCAGAGCTAGGACAGTCCATCCTGTTTTTATTGTGTCTTTCCTGTCTTCTTTTCTCTAGGTTGAAGGACTTTAATTACTGGTCTTTTTTCACCTTTGATCTCTGTCTGCCAAGTTCATGTTTTTCTTGAAGTATTTTGCCTTAGGAGAACTGAACACAGTGGAAGGCTTGCTTCATGTGTCTTGCAAGCTATATTGCTGTTTGGTTTTCAGTGTGAAAAACTGCCTTTTTCTTGTTTTAAGTTTGCACTAGTTTTGGCTTCATTTGTTCAAGTGCAGCCTATGAAGACTTCTACCTTGATGTATCTGGGATCTAGTTAGTCTTTCTCTTTCCTGGCCTTGTGCATCTGATGTGGATCTGCCTAAGCATGGTACCTTGGCTCTGTCCTGCTGGAATAATAATCTAAATTTTTAAGACCATATGTCCACTGTCTGAAGATCATTTTGAAGCACAATCAGTCTCCCTCTTAGGTGTTATCAGAATGTTGGATAAGTTTTTAAGCAAATATCCAGGAAACCCAATGAAAATACTGAATAGTAGCAGAGCAAGGATAGATTTTTCTTTATACAGTTGCCAGTTCTTGTCAGTGAACCACAGGTAACTTTCTATTAACTGTTTTTCCAAACAGTTTTGCAGCATCTCTACAGTTTTCCAACTCTCTTTACTGATTCCTAATATTGCTTGTGAAAAAAATGACCTTTACTGCCTCTTTGTGTTCATAGATCTTTTATCTAGTCATGAAAGGAAAGGGAATTATTTTGACAAGTTTTGCTTTTGCCATGTTGGCTGCTACTCGTTTTCTTGTTTTCTTTTCAGTATCTACAAGTAGATGTTTTGTTGGTTTGGTTTTTTTTTTTTTTGTTTCAATTTTTAAAAAAATTGGAAAGTAATCTGACTGATCTGTATTTATATGGCTTGTCCTTCCCCTTTCCAATGATTAAATATCAGTACCGCTTCAGCCCTTGCGCATTCTGATCTCTCACTTATTTAAGATTTCAGTAGCTAGTACTTCAAACACTTTTGAATAGTGGAATGAAGCACATCTGACCCTGCACATTTTGAAAACCTCTTATGTTTCACTGACCTATTCCTTCTCTACTTAAAGCTTCAGTCTTTGTCACAGTTAATTGTACTGAGCCTTTCCTTGATTGTTCTCTAATAACTAATGTACTAATAAAATTAACTGTAACTTTTGAAGTAATTTTTCTATTTGTATTCCAGTTTGTTTGGAGCTTTCTACTTCTATACCTCTATTATCTGTAGCAAAATGGCCTAAATTTTCAACTTTCTGCAGGCATGCATTGTTCATGTGACTGAGTTCCATAAAGTCCTGAGTATTGCAGAATTACGTAAACGGAAATTAAGATTCACTGTTATAGTTAGCTGTCTGTCTTCTGTAATCACTTTTTCTGTATAATGTGTAGTGGTGATACTCTGGTAGACTTAAGGTGAGGGGAAGAGGAATAAAAATTTATGTATTTGATAGATTTTTGAATAAGATTTGGTTTGGGATGTTATTAATAACATTTGTAATGAGGAAAGTGATTTTTTTTTTTTTTTTTTTAAGGCATTTTTACTCCTGAACAACACTTACGTTTTTTTGAATTTTATAAGAAGCTTTCCACACTGGGTTTACAGCAAGAAAATGGACAAAATGATAATCAAGTACAAGTTCAAACTCTGGAACAAGAAAATAAGTATATTTTGGTCAGGAAGAACTGTGCTTACAATTTTCCTGTAAGTGACATTAATTTAAGGTTAAATAATTTGTGTTGTGCATATAGTTTACTAAATAGGGACTGCATGAGTGATAGAGAAGTTATTTTCAAAATGTACATTTTTAGCTGGACTCTAGATCTTTCCTGAAAAGTTCACATTAATGGCTCAAAGTAGAGGTTGTCCGAAAGAGTCCAGGAAAGATTCCTTTTACAGAGCCTGAGAAAATTATTGACAAGTTTTTGACTGAGCAGGTGTTGCTGTTCTGAGAGGTTACTGGTCTCAGTCTTTCTTATACATTTTCTCCAAACACTTAGCACAAACGGTTTGAGAAAATGTCTGTGAAACAGAAGTCCCCAATTTCAAACTGTCATAGCTAGGTTTTCACATTTGCTGTGTGTCATGGCATTCTAGGGAGTTAAAGATTGAATCTGAATGGTTAGATTAATATTTCAGTCATGTTCCTGCCTGAATACAGAAAGACTTTTCAAGTTAAAGTGAGGTCTTTAAAAGTACCACTCATGTTTCTGTAAATTTACTTTGTATTTTGACATTCTGTATTTATAGTGAAAGAAAATATGTTTGTAACAAGCCAGTAGACAGTTATTTTTATTCTGCCTTTTAAAGAGAAGCATCTTTTATGTAGGTAGACATCTGTTAGTTTATTTGAGCAAAACAAAGGTATGTACGCAAAAAACTATGTTGAAATTCAGGTGCTTGCTTAGCTGCTTGCTAAAATATTTGTTGTTTTTGAAGTCTCCAATTGCACCTTCCACTAGTGTATGGAAATGTTAACAATATTTATAGAAATAAAGTTTTATATCTTGTGGATTTAGTCTATGTCTTGAGAAAAAAAAAGCCTGAAGCATGTCTGGAAGATATGTAAATCCAGTTTAGTTCTCAACTTCAGAGTTTGTCTGGTGCCTGTGTTTTGACACAGCCATCAAAAATGCTATACTTCCTCTTTAAAGTCACAACCTGTTACCTCCTAAGTGTCTTTCTGATTGTAGCTTAATGTTTTGATCTGATAGTGTGGCCCTTTAATTATGCAGTTAATAGAAGACTTTATCCTTCCACAGGCCATGATTGTTTTTGTGGACCCAAAGAATTTCCATTTAGAACTATATTCTATATTCTTCTGTCTTTGTCATGACCCTGAAGTTCCTGTCAGATATACTATGGCCTTAAGCTTCTATGAAGTAAGTCGACATTGGTTCTTTGTTAGTACTTACATGTTTTTATTTTGTTTTCTTCTTTAAGGTTATATTTATGACTGTTTGACCAAAATAGAAAGACTTGAGAAAACTTGTTGAAAGGATTCAGTTTGTCAAAGTTGTTCAGTCCCATCTAACCTGTCTGTATAGCCCATATACACAGATTAGTCTAAGTTGTGTAACATTTGGCTACAGGAGCCTACTGTTAGATGAGCTTTTAAGGAGTAAAACCTGGAAGAAACTTAGAGTGGTCTAGTACTACAAGCATAAGCAATTGTAGCAATTACACTATTTGAAGTTTTTCAATGCTACTAGAAAATAATGAGATGTTTGTTAGACAGGCACTTGACACTTTTGGTCCTGAAAACCTCCTTTAGAACAGTAGAGTTTGCTGGTGTATACTGGTATTCTGTGGAGAATATTTATATGGGTCAAATCTAAGCTAAATGCTCAATTTAATATGAAACTACTTGGAAATTTATGCAGATGTAGAAGAATGTGTATTCTTTTTACTCCATTCAGTTTACGTAAGTTCCAGTGTAGTATTTTCATGAAAGTTAAAAAACGTACAACTGTGTAGATATTATTAGCTATGTGGGGTGAATTCCAGAAAAAAAAATACACTCTCTCCAGATTGTAATAACCTATGTAGGATGATCTTCAAGGTTTTCATAGTGTTTTACTGAGAATCCTTGTGTTTCAGTCTTCGAGCTAGCCTCTTATCCCATTTTCTTTCTGGAGAAATTGGTAAGTTAAGAAGCTTGCTGAAAGCATTTAAATCACTAGTAGAGGCCTAAATGGTTTTATTTCCACCATTATAAGAAAGATGGATGTATTTCCAGTTCTTGCTACCTATTGATGGTTTGCCTTAGGGAATGATAATCCAAGGTAATTGTTGAAATTATCAAGTTAGCATCTAGTTCTGCATAATATTTTGTGTTAGATGTATAATACTTTTAAAGTACCGCCTGAATATGAAGTATTTTAGCTCATTTTAAAAAGCCTGTAAAACTGTACCTTGGTCTGAACATGCATTTAGTGCTTGTTGATTTAATTTTAACTCCATAACTAGGCAACCATATGACAGCCAAAAAATGGGCAATTTATCAATTTATGGTATTCACTGCTAGGTGAACTTTTTTTTTTTTTTAAAATATAAATAAACTCCCTTTAGACATCTCCTTAAAGCTTCGTCTTGATTAGGAGGAAGCTTTTATTTTCACTTGGCTTATATAAATAAAGAAGATCATTTAAAATAGTCATCAAAATATTAAGTATGGCAATAATCTTATTCCTCAAGGCTTTCTCATGTGAAAAGGGTTAAAAATCTTGTAGCAGTCTGGAGATGGACTGGGGGTGGTTTTTAGAATTTCATATGTGATTTATGAATCAGAGTCAAAAAAAAAACAACAAAGGAGGACTGAAAACTTCAGATGGAAAGGTTGGGGAAACTTAAAATCCAGCACAGGCTAAACCAATTTTTATGTTTTATCTTTTGTAAATTATATAACAGTCTGAAATGTTAATTCTCCTAAGGAGCATGATCTACAACATTTGAATATTCCAGAATGAATTTTTCCTCACCTTGCAGTCTTAAATTTTTTTGCTAACTGTGAGAAAGTGTTAAATTTGAAAGCATGTTTGATGGTTAGATAATAGGCCAGTTTCTTGACTCATATTCTTTATATTAGCATATTTTAATGCGATCTATGGGAAAGCACACAACTTTAGAAGTCTGATACTAAACAATTGCTCTTCATCCCATCTTCATGCTTGCCGTAAAGTAAGCACATATTGTTGTAGTGGCATGAAACTAGAGAATGTTTCACCTTGCTATTTTCCTGTAATTTTTTAGGTGGCTAAGCTTTTAAATTCTGGTGTGTATACAATACATAAAGAACTGGTTACACTATTGCAGGATGAGTCACTGGAGGTAATATACTTTTAGTAGAATTCTATTTTGCTTGTTACATTGAGGCAGATTATCTTGATGTTTAATAACTTCAATAAGACAGTAGAGTAACAGTGTGAAAGGATCAACAGCTTTTACTTCTGTTTCACAGATGCTTCCTAAAGATGACAGCCTTCTGTGAATAAAAAAGGAGGAAAATAGGAAGGTGTTTAAATTTAGTAAACCCACACTGAATTTATTAGCTTTTAAAAACATTAATTCTAAATTGTTTTAATTGCCGTGTCATTTATTAACTTAAAAATTTTATGGAAATATTTGGTTTTGATACTGTGTTAAAATAAACCTTTATAGTGTTTAAGGTTTTTGCTTTGGTTTATTTTCATTTCTTCAGTTGAAGGGGAGATTAAGAAGTTGTGTGTGGTTCAAAGATCAGGATTTATAGAAAGAATTTCAGTCCAAGGTCTGTTACAGATTCTGTGAGTGTTTATGAGATAGTTTAGTGTCCCTCAGCTTCAACCTGTGTAAAACATGAGTCACTTAGCTGGATTGCAGGTGACATAGAGTGAGACCTTTTTGGACTTGAAAAAAGACAAATATTTATTGAGACAAAGTCATAATTTCCTTTTGCTTTCAGGTTCTCTATTGTTATCCTTTGTTAGACATTTTCAAGGGAATTCAAAGCATTCGTAGAACAACTACTTGTAGTTTATGAAATTCTGATGCATCTTTAAAGATTTCTCAAGTTGAACACCTGAAAGTTGAGACTTAGAAACAGCTGGTGATTCTAAAAATTTCCCTGTTTTGATACATGTAATAAAAAGTATTTGGTGCCTTATCTTGTTTACCACCTCAGTCAGAACTGGTGCCAAAAATATTTAATTATGTACTTTTCTAATCTATTTGTAAGTATTACAACATTTGAAAGTTTGGCTACTTTATTCATATAGGCTATACATTCTATTTTAATTTATCAACTGCAGTTTTTCTTAAAGCACAAAAAGTTGCTTTTAAGATTCAGTTGACAAATGTAAAAAACCCCATTTCTTTGTGTTTGTCAAGGCTCTTTTATTTAGGAATGATGTTCATTTTAAAATATCTTAGAAAGCATTGACTGTGGTATTCATATAAATTAAAACTACAGTTTGTTTTCTTAAACTTATAATGTATAGTACTTATATTACTACATTAAAACATAACTACATTGAAACATCAATTTTAAATCCCAGTCCTCATCAAAGCAAATATGTTGCATCTCGTTCTTTTTTGTTGTGATGGATATGAGAGAACAGTACCATAAGAGATGTCACTAGGGATATTGTTAGTGAGAGATAAAAATTGAGTCAAGTTAATTTACAGAACTTATTTATGCAGCCTTTCTTTAAATAGGTGCTAGATGCCCTGATAGGTAACCTCCCTGAAATCCTTGAACTAATGACTAATGGAGGAGAAAACCGTGGATCAGAGAACAAGGTGGGTATTCTCATGTTTTTTTAATTTGATTTCTAAATGAAGGTAGTAGTAAAGTTTTTCAGACATACATGGTATGAATATGCCTTTGTTACTAGTTTCTGCTTTGGTGAGATAAAAGTCTCTGTGTTTTTTTTTGATTGTCCTTTGACTTTATAAACTTAATGATAATAATAAAAAAGAATTGTGAAAGACTTGACGTAGTATAATGTTCATCCATGTTCTTTTTCCAATTAGCCACAGATTTCCTGAAATAAATAAAATTTTGAAATACAATCATTAAATTAAAACATAGGTTGGCTTCATGCTAAAGGAATGACAGCTAACATGGAATTTATTTATTTTTTCTTTATGTGGCAACTGCCCATGTTTGCCATTTTCAGGCACAGTTTCTGCTAGAAGAAAGCCTATTTGCTGAAGAAAGGCACTGAATTAGGTTTTAGGAGATCTATATTCAGCTCCCAACTTCAGTAATTTGATTTTATGTGGCTCTGGATGATGGTTTATTCATTGAATCCTTACCTGTAAAATAGCACATAAAAGATCATCTCTTGCTTCAAGATTCTGTTTTGAGCATACTTCTTAAGTGTATGGAGAAATTGAAATATTCCAACAATATAAGAAATGAATAAATTTATTTTCTCGTATGGAGAAAAGTTGAGAGTGTAATTTAAAATGTGAACTTTTCAGATAATGTACTGCTGAAAATCTATATGGCATGTAACAAGTGCAATGTCAAATGTGGCACTCTCTTTCATTTTGCTTAGTGCTAAAGAGACTTTAGCTTGGCTACTGCAAAGTCTTTGCTTCCCACTAAGAAAAGGTGTCTAATTCCTACTAAAATCAATTAGGGAGCTGAGAACAGTGACTGCAAAATCAAAAGGCTAGAAGGAAAATGGAATTTATTTGATTTGAAAAAGAGAAGAATGAAGAGGTTGTCATAATGCTCTTTCATATCTCTAAAAGGGTACAGTGATCAGTTTTTCTTTGTCAGGAGAAGGGATTGGAAATGAAAGTTTATTTAGTTAGGTATCGGAATAGCTTTTTGAGTAGTAAAATAGAATTTACTGCTTAGGGAAGATTGTTTAAACCCAACCATTACATTATTTTAAAACCAAGTTAGGCTAACATCTGCTGGAAGTGGTCACAGTGTAGCTGATCCTGTCTGAGGAGAGGAATTAACTGACCCCTTAAAAATCTCTTCCCCTGATGCATTGTTGTGATGTGCTTTTTAAGCATGGTAACATGACATAAAGCTAGAACATGTAAAATTATTTTAATGTTTATATTTTTATTTCTAGTTATTGTCTATTCCTGACTTGATTACGGCATTAACAACAGCAGAACAAAGAGCAGCAACTTCTTTGAAATGGAGAACTCATGAGAAGTTACTACAAAAATATGCATGTCTCCCTCATATCATATCAAGTGATCAGATTTATTACCGCTTTCTTCACAGAATGTTGACAATCATTTTGACAAATGTAAGCCCACCTGTCTCTTTCATGTTTTTTTTTGTTTCTTTATGCTATTTAGAACAATGACCACCATATATTTGCTATGTGTAGTACTTTTTAATTGTCTTAAAGTACTACTTCTCATTGCATATGGTATATCAGGCTGTGTTTTTTTTAATATGACTGAGAAATTGCTCTGAGAACTTCCCCCCAGTTTGAGTAGCAAAATTTGGATTGACAGGTTGTCATATTTTTCCTCCCACCCAAAAGTTCTTTTATTTCCTTGTGCTCATTATCAATTTGTTTCTAGGTAAATCAAAACCTTTTCCCCTGAGACATGCCTTCGTTTTCCTGATTCCATGCATTATATCACATTGTGTTTCATTCCTTATGAAAGAACACTTTATTCTGATAATGAATGTTTGTTGTAAGAGATACTTTATTTTCTAACACCTTTAATATAGAAGCCACCTCCCAGACATGAAATACTTCAAGGCTTTTAAGAAATAACTGAATAAACACCTTAGGCAGAAGTGATATTGATTGGCCAAACTTCCCAATTACCCATGGCATTATAGCAATTATTTCAAAATTTATAAAGTTGGGTGCTATTTTAGCTATTTTTTTTCTACTTCTAGATTTTTTATACATTTTTAGTCATATTTCTTCAGGTATGTTTAATTGTGTTCCCTTTATTTCTCTCAAGAATGTCCTACCAGTCCAAAAAGCAGCTGCTCGAACTCTCTGCGTTTATTTGCGTTATAATCCCAAACAAGAACAGAGGCATGAGGTTATCCAGAAACTGATTGAACGTAAGATAATTTTTCCATGATTACGTAGAGATGCCAGTTAGTCTTGACTAAAGATCTATTTCTATATATAGTTGTATACATTCAGTGTAACTTTCTGCCTTCATTGGAGGGATTACACTTAAAAGGCATTCAGTTGCTCGTATTACCACCAGGCAAAACATAGTGCATATGCAAGGAATATCTGAAACTTGGGCAAATAAATTGGGAAAGTGGCAATGTGGGAAACTGATAATATGCCAAGCCCCCTCCAGCCCTGCTTCTTGAATCCAAAATGGCTCAGCTGAAAGTGCTGCAATATACAAAACAGAGTTCCTCTACAGAAATAAAATTCTCTAGAGGCTTCATCATAAGAAGTGCTGAATAAATCTTCTCAGAGATTAATTTATGAATGGATTAGTCACCTAAGGTGACCTTCTGGTCTATGCCATGTGTTTTAAAGCTAGGTTAGAATTTTTGAATTGTTCTCATTAGCAATCCTTAAAGTTTACACAGTAATTTTCATACACCAGTGACATGGTTTGGATGGCATACAGGGCTTTGCTCAACACGGTAGCTAGTTCAATTACTATTTCTCCGTTTTCAAATGGTTAAAGAGCCTGACTGTATTTCTGAAAAACAATGCTCACTGACAGGTGTGGTCATTGAATTCAGAAGGGTGGTTTTTCACTGAAATAAAGAATTGAGATAGGCTGGGAAGGTGTGTCTTGTGATGAGTGTGATTATCATCTTTGAAATGTTGGGTTAACCTTTGAAAAGTTATCTCTCTGACATTGAAAACTTAATAGATAATTTCTGTGCATTGTTATTTTTCAGAACTGGGCCAAGGAAAAAGTTATTGGAACAGACTTCGGTTTTTAGATACATGTGAATTCATTATGGAACTGTTTTCAAAATCATTCTTCTGTAAATACTTCTTTCTACCTGTTCTTGAACTTACACATGATCCAGTGGCAAATGTGAGGTACTGTACAAAGAGTATGCAGCAGTGAACAGGAAATAAAAACCTTAAATGCTATATTTAGAAATATTGCTACAGGTTTCATGTCTTGCTTAAATAATGGGACTTGAGTAAAAATGTACAGAGCCTTTAAGGTAACCAGTATTAAAGGTGTAGGGCACTGTGGGAATGATGTTGGAAACCACATAAGTAGGTCAATCTGAGTGTTGGGGGGAACTCACCAAAAATGTCAGGTTTTGGGACTGAAAGGAACAGTGAGGCAGAGGAGCCAACTGTAGGTGGGAAGAAAGTAATTTGCTGTTTCATGGGTATAGAGAGAAATGTAACTTCACAGTCTCCATTAATTTCCATCCATTTCAATCGCTTTATATGCAAAGTAAAACACACAAGCAATTCTTTAAAGTAATCTGAGCTTAACAAGTTAGCATCGGTTTTACCTTATTTTAAAGTTTTCTATTTCATTGTTGAAGTAAGTTAAAAAATAGAAAAATGTAAGGGAATTTGATATGTATTTTAATTTTTTTTTGCTTTCAACAAATGTTTTTATTAAAAACGCTATTGATACAATATTAAAATTTAATGGAAACTTGAAATAACTTGTAAATCCTTAACTGACATTAAAATTAATTTTGTCATAATTCTTTCCTGGATTGTTCCCTAACACTTTTTACAGAAAGGATGCACCATCTATAGTGGACAGAAGTTTAGAAGTCAGACATAGTTGTTAGGTCATGATTTTAAAATGAGCATAGAGAGATATTCTAGCTTTTCACAGAGTGGTGTAATTCTGTAATGGAAGTTGTGAAGAATAAAATGTTTTGAATGTGTGAAAACAGAAAGATGAATTTGTATAAGAAAATCTTTTCAAATGTTATCAATCACAAAGTTTCCTTCATCCTTGCAATTGTATGGAAGTGCAGTTACATGAGTTTTGGTGAGAATTTGGCTGCTTTATACTGATTAACCAGATTTCCAGTGTATTTAGGTACCTGATACAGATAAATAAATGTGTAGATAATTTTGAAAACCTAGAGGTCTGCTTATCATTCTAGCAGAATGAACCAACCAAATGAACAAAACCCAAACCCCTAAACACTCAAACCTGAAACGACAACAAAAAAACCCCAACCAAACACTCAGTCAAAACAAAAATGATAACCATTTAAAAAAAAAAACAGCAAAAGAAAACCAGAGAAATATTTATTGACTTTCAGATATAGGACTCTTTTCCTGACCTATGGAGTTTTTGAAAATGTTACAGTATGTCTGGAAACAATACATAAACAACAAAATTTTCTGAAAATCAAACCTACTAACATTATTGTATGTCATGCTAGCATGCAATACAAAAATTAATGATGATTATTAAACATTGCATGAAAAGACAAATATATACTGTCTTGTTTCTTTTTTTAGAATGAAGTTATGCTATTTGTTGCCAAAAGTTAAATCTACTCTGAGGATACCCACTGATAAACATTTACTTCAGCAGTTAGAGTTATGTATAAGGAAACTTTTGTGTCAAGAGAAAGACAAAGATGTCCTGACTATTGTAAAAAGAGTAAGCATTTTTCTTTTCCAGCAGCATTTTGCTTTGGGGTTATCGTTAAAAGATGATCAACCTTATTCTTTCTGTTGATTCTCTTAATGTGAGAACAGGAGACTAAAGAATTCATTGTCTATCATATAATTTTGGACAATTAAGAGAAGATGTAGTGCAGTGCATTCTGTCAAATTTGAGAGCAGGTGTTTCCTTGGTTGCTAATATTGCGGTTATTTTATAGTGACTGGAATTCAGGACTTCAGCTCAATGGCCGTTTGTGAAAAATAACAGACGACTAAAGATAGGTTTAAATATCAACTTTAGTGAAAATGATCAAGTTTTTGAGGTAGAGGTATCTAGAGATACATATTTGCAATATACAGATGCATGATTTTGAAATGTTACAAATGTCTTTGTACAGTGAATATTCATGAAAAAGTACATCTTTTAGGGATGACCATGCTTAGTTTCAAGTAAGCCATGATACTAAGTAGCTAAAGTAGGTGGCTTCTTTATAGGGCCAGTCTGCAGGAGAAACTGGGTGTGAAGCATCCTGGCTTATCCACAAATTCCTGAGTTGTTTTTGTAGTCCTGGTTCCTAGTTCCATGCTCCAGCCATTCATGCTTCTATGCTTTCCTTGAGTGTAGTTTGAATTCTAAATAGATAGTCTGTCAGTTATTAGTCTGTGAGTCTCAGCATGGCTCTGAGAATACTCTCTGACAATTTTTAACTGTATGTGTATCAAAAAATGCAATAGGCTTCAAATGAAGAAAAGGCATACTTAATTTTAAATATGACTATTCTGAGCTTCCTAGCTGGACAGTTTCTTAGTTGAAAGTATGCTGCTGAGTAACAATAATGTTTTGATTTTCTTTATAGACGGTGTTAGAATTGGACAGAATGGAGATCTCTGTAGATGCTGTAAGTACTCAGTAACTTTAATACAAAATACTTTTAATTCCCATTTTCATAAAGTGATTTTTTATTTTTTATTGATTTTATTTTGAAGTTTCAGAAAAGATTTTACGAAAATGATTTATTGGATCAAGAAAAAGACAGACAAGAACATCTCCTTTTGGAAATGGTGTATCTTATGAGTATAATCGGTCCTTTTTTTATTAGTTTGTAGCTAAATATTAATGAGGCAATAATTTTAAGGTAGAGGAAGTGCACATTATCAAGACACCTTGTAGGTTCATAATCTGTGTATAGTTTCATTTTACAATTTACAATAGGGTTAAGACATATGACATATGACTTCCTTTTCTGTATTACCTAAACTTTACTGTATCAGTTAGAAAACAAACTAATTTCTTGAAAAATATTCGTCTGTGATGCCTTGATAGTTCTAAAATCCAAGCCCTTCAGCACACTTTATGAAATCTTTTTGCGGGAGCTTAGCAATTTTTCAGGTGTGTCTAACATAATAAATCAAATGATGAAACATCTCAGAACTGACAGACAGCTTCCATAGGCAAAGCAATGAATGCCCTAACATTTGTGCCAAGGAAGCCAAAGAAGGCTCTGTGTGTTGCAGGCTTTCTTGTTAATCAGAAAAAAGGCCACTGATATGTGCCGCCTCTCAGGAGGGAGATTTAGTGCAGGTTGTATAGAGCAAAAGGTGCTTCAAGTTACTTACTTAGGATTTGGAAGAGAAGTCTGCAGAACAGTTTTCCAGCTCATAAAAACTATCTTCAGTCATGTCTGTAAGTGAGAGCTGCAGCAGACGCTTCGCCACTTAGCCTACTACATTTTCACAAACCCTAGATGAGATTACTGCAGTCCTCTCTTCCGCTAGCTCCTCTCCACCCAAAGGTGGGAGAAGCTAAGAAGCTGATAGGGTTTAGAAGAGGCTAAATTTCATTATCATGGTTTCTCTGATTTGAGAAAATGAAGCTGCTCTGTAGTAAACCAGAACAGGTTCAAGACTGTCCAAAACCCACTTTTTTCCAATTTGGGATTCTACAGAGCCTGTATTTCTGGCCCGCTGATGTCAGTAGGTGCTGCATGTCTTCTCTTGCGTAGCGAAGGTTCAAGCTTTGTTATCAAGACCTGCATACATATTCAAGACTTGAACTTAGCTTTAGCAGTTTTTAGGTAGTTAAAATAAATGTTTTTGTGGTTAAAGCAGTCCGGGGATGTGGTAAAATAGCCCCTGGTATGCTCTTTGTTACCTTGTATTTTGTAATGACAATTTTTACCCTATTTCTGCAGCTAGAATTTAGAAGAGCACCTGTATTTTTATGATATATATATATATACACCCCTGAAATGGGCATACCTTCTGTATCACAAAGGTCTCATTAAGCACTGTCTGTGAGAGGCATGTTTTTGAGGTACTGGAGATGTATACAGTATATTGTGACACCCTGGCAGTGCTCAAGGCCAGGTTGGACCAAGTCCTGGGGGACATGGTCCAGTGTGAGGCGTCCCTGCCCATGGCATGGAGGTTGGAACTAGATGATCTTAAGGTCCTTTCCAGCCCTGATTATTCTATGTTGCAAACAAATGAGGAAGGGGTGAACCTACTTATGTATCTGAGTGCTGCAGATTTTAATACTGAATATGTTAATATGTTTCCTTAATTTTAGTAAGTGACTTAATAGAAACTATATTACAGCAACCTTGACCTGAATGTTTTTTTTTTCTTTTTTTAACTTTGTTAGTAATTAGAATGAAATGAAAAAAAATAAAATAAAAATAGAGTAGAACAATTATGGTTCACTTGGAACTTTTTATTATTAACATAGTACAGAAAATAAGCTAACATTAAATAGCATTTTGAAGGTGGAGTGGTGTCTGTTCAGCAGCAATCCAGAAGCAAGTATTGGCTTTTGAAGTTATTGATGTAGCTGTGTTAACACTACATTCTGTCTATGAATGTACTCTCAAAAGGTTCTAAGGCTAGCTAATATTACAGAAGGGCAACGGAATTCCCTATACTTGAACAATTGTAATACTTGGTTTTGTTTTCATAAAGGCTTATCAAATGCAAAACCTCAGCTCTGAGGTTCCTTCATAATTACAATCAACATTTTTTAATGTGACATTTATATAGATTATGTACCCTGATTTAATTTTGTTCTACTTGATTGGTTATCAAAATATTCACTAGGGGCTGTACTAAAAGTTGGAGAGAGAAGAAATTGTTATTTTGGTGATTTGGAAGCAATTCCCAGTTGGAAACACAATTTATTTTTTTCTGAGGAATAACTAAGAAAATTATCCATTTTTTAGGAACAATTAGAAAAAGAGAAGCAGCAAAATGAAGGAAGATCTACAAATATTAATAACAAAATATTTGAAAAGAAACGTAAGTTTATTTGTGTACATTTTGTTTGTGCATGTATTGCTCTTCTGCAAAAGTAGGAGAAAGGAGCAGAGAAAAAACAATTTATACAGTAAATAGAGTTTTAAAAAGTGGCAATAAACCTTTTTTTCTATATATTTCTAAATATACTTATAAATACTGGCCTCATTTTATTAGAGGGAAGACTTTTGGCTTTATTAATAAAACACATGACAGTTTTAGTTCTCTGGTATTTTTAATTTTAGCATGTAGTGTACGTACTTGTCCGTGGTATTTCTGAAATATTAGTAGCACTGGATTTGATATTATTGCTCTTTACCCCAGGCCTGTAATACATTACAACATCTTTCTCTTTTTAAAGTTAACCTTTAAGAAAGGAGTATTTATACTTGGATTTTTTTTAGGCAGAGACAGTAAAACTTCATCAGTGTTGGCAAAAAGGATCACGCTCTCTGTTCCTGGAAGCTCTTCTGCTACATCAGCAGGTAAGAACTCTTTAAAAATCTTCCAGAATGTTTTGGTGTCACATCAGCAGGTTAAAACCCAGCAAAGCTGCTGTTGGGATTTGTGGGCTAGTTTAACCTTCTATGCATAGGAAGTGATTCCACTCCTAGAACTGAATGTTTTCTATGTTTTTTAGTTTTAGTTTAATCTTTACTATATAAATAAGTGACATAAAGTTTATTTATTGTTATTGAAGTATTTAAATCAGTTCCTTCAGCTAGCAAAAGTTGACAGAAAATTATATTAAAAGTTATTTTAATTACTGGGGAAATGCAATTATATATATGTTAAAAAAAATTTCCTACTTACAATTTTAGGCAAAGAAGACAAAAAATCCAAGTTGGTTCGAAGCCAGTCTTTCAGTACTCAAGCACTACATCCAAAATACAACGCCTTAGACAAGTGTCCTAAGTATCTTTATTATCTTCATTCCTTACCTCATAGGCAAATGTTATGAAATTATATGCATAAGGCTCTATAAAAGTAGTGATGTGCTCGCTGAATTGTGACCTTACTTTTCAGCTTGTTTAATTGATTCAGTTTTGAACTGAAGGAAGATATATCACTTTAAGGCATGCTGAGTCCTACTCATGTATTCCTTTTAAGTTAATATGTCACCTTTTATCAAAAGTAAAACAAGTTTCAATATGAACTGCAAAGTCTAAAGAAATTTCAGCATAACTTTCTCATTTAATTTTTTTATATAAACTCATAAATAACCTCCAATTTTATATAAAGAGCAGGGTCATTCAATTGGGAGAAACATGTTTCTGAAATAAACAGTTTGGTTTTAATTTATTTGTGGGGTTTTTTGTTTGTTTGTTTGTTTGTTTTTTTTAAGTATAAGCTCTGCTACAGGATACACGTGTTCAGTATCAGGAATGGGAAAGAATTGTATGTTATCCTTTACTGGTAAGTAGGTTATTCCATTACCTTTTATATGATTTTTTTTGGGGGGGTGCTGAATATGTGGGCTCCACATATACCCTATTTACCAGGCATACTGTAAGATACCATTCTGCTAAAGAACATAGAATAATACATATCCGATATGTTTGGCCACTTAAATGCTAGTCTAGTTAGCCTACTTCTCTTTTTTTTTGTTGCATTTTTTGTTTTGCTTTTTGTTTGTTTGGGTTTGTGGTTTTTTTTTGTTTGGTTGGTTTTTGTTTTGTTTGGTATTTGTTACATGTAGGTTTAAAGTTATATCTAAATGTAGTAAAAATAAAATGTACTTGACATCTCTTGATATTTTGGATGTCATAAAAAGGTTGGTCTTGCAATTTGCCTCCACCCGTTTTACATGAGGAAAGGGTTATTATGTATACCTTCTCTTGAATTAGGAGAGGGAAATTGTTGTTTGGAAGTGCCCCTCTCTGCATTTGCTGTTGAAAAGTATGGATCATTAAAGACTGGAATGAGATTAGTGGCTTTCTGGAGGAACCTGTCTTTTTTGCATTCAGTACTAATAGATGATTATCTTGGATTAAATAGATACATTTTAAGTACCTTAAGACTGGCCAATTAAATACCCTTGTTTTCATACATGAAATGTATTAATCCTATCTTTTAAAATGTGTCTTCTAGTTATTTTTACTTATCATTTTTTCCACAAAAGAAGAAGAAATGCTAAGTTGAAACCATTCTGTTACAGAAAGTTAAACTTTTGGATTAGTGCCATAGGAAATATGCTACAATTGCCACAGGAAAACCAGCTCATTCTGTTTACTCTCTGTGTACATTTTTCAGACAAAATTCTTTTCTGAACTGCAACTCTTTATTTCAGATGATTCATTCCAGACTCATTCTGGTGGTAACAGTGGGAATACTGCCTTCCCTTCCAGTTCTTCTTGCAATTTATATAACTCAGCTGACCAGAAGAGCAGTGGAAATAAGGAGATTCAGACCCGAAAGGTGAACCTGTAAGTGGTTGACAAGAGGTTAAATCAAGCTTATGGGTAACATTTTTCAAAGGGAACTGAAGAGACCCATGTGAGATTAAGCCTGTATTTATGATACATCTTCACCCAGATTTTGAAATACTAAATAAACATGGTAAAAATGGGATGTGTGCAATTACGAGAGTTTTTAAGATTGCATTCCCTTTCAGTTAGTCTTTTGCATTGTTTCCTCTGCACGTTTGCATTCAGCTGGAGCATTATGGGGAGGGTGGAATGTGACAAAGTGAAGGTTGTTGCATTTGATGTATAGTAACTACAGTCACAGTGATTTAGCTGCCTATAGTTGGAGAAATAGAAAATATGCATTATTAGATGATTTCATTTTTCTTTTTCCTTTTTATGTACTTCTGTATTTTTGTGTTTGAGAGTTATGTTGAACTGGTACTGCTACTTGTCATTAAGGCTGCTGCCTTTGCCTTACCTTAATCATTTAGATGAAAAAATTTCAATGCTAGGCACCTCCCTTAGGCTGGTTTTCTTTAAACTTCACCCTAAACTGTTCAACATTTTGCAAGAATGAAATCAAAGATGATTTTTTTTGCTCCTGTGATAAAACTGTAAGTCCTAGAAATTTGCTGTGATATGTACATACTTAGTCAAATATCTGTAGACTCTAGCAGCTACTTCATATTCCTTTCACACTATTACTTGTAGTTCTAAATTAGTGTCATTGGACTGGCTGTAATTTTGGGTGCTCAAACTGAGATTTTTCTTTGCTATTGGAGATTTGATTTCTTAGCCAAGTCAGAATGGAGAATAGAAAGGAGCCACCTATTTCAAGAAATGGAGGTTGGGAAAGTAGACTTAAATGTAATAGGAACTAGAACTGGGAGCTGAAAAAAAATGGAGAAATACAAGCCGGGGCCTTGGAAGTCTGTATAGGTATAAAAGACCAAGGATAAAAGAAGAGTCCAGGATGTGAGGTTGTAACTTGCCTCAAAGATAATGGAGCTGAGATAGATGTGTTGATGGAGTCTACACCAGACAGGAAAGAGAAAACACCTTACACTGGTTTGCTAGGTATAAAGAGAAAACAATAGTGAAAGTGATATCTTTTAGTGGTCCTTTCTGGGGTTTTCATGTTCCTGTAAAAAACAAGCCAAAACACTCCCCCTGTCACCACCTTTACTCACATATCGAAGTTAATAAAATTCCCAAATTGCAAAATAAAACACTCAAAATTTTAACAAATATGTGAAGTTGTTCTCTAAACAGCTTGCGTTCAACTACTTGTGTACATTATATTATGATACACAGTCTTTTGCTGTGTGATTACATAGTATTTTTCTGCTGGAATTTTACCACCTTCACTGTACAAGGTAAATTTGTTCTGGAATAAAATCAAGCTTGCATAGTGACCTATTGTTTTTAAAACTGGATTTTCTTTGTAGAAAAGGTTGGAAGATAAGTGGTGAATGAAGGTGGACTGTTTCTGTTGAGTCAGTGGTTTCACAGCACAAGTACTTTAAAGTACCAATTCAAACTGCGCTCTACCCCTGCCTTGTCCAGAGTCTAATGCTTTCTCCTAAGTATTAACCCACAGTACTTCAGACTTTTTATAGGCGATCATTAGGTGGTCACTAATTTCAAAGCACACGATTTCAAACTCAATGTTAGATCAGTAGTCATGCGGATGTTTTCAGCTATCTATAAAGTAAGCGGGACGTGTACCTTTAGTACATAAAATGACATAGAGTGTTCAATATTTTCAAAAATTGTGTGGTCAAAACCCCATCTGCTTTCACTCTAATCACTGTATACGTCTGTTCCTTCTATTTAAAACCAGAAAATTAGTTCTAATGCTATAAATTTTTGCAGAAATTCCAATTACTCATCTGTCTCACAAAATTTTTGGGAAAATAAATGGATTAATACTCACAAAGCAAAGGCTTTTCTATCTATCACTTAAAATAAAACTGATATCTTTTGCTTGAGTACAAAGGGACAGAAAAAGACTCACACAGAGCAGTTTGTACCTTTGTCTTCAGGCAGGAAAGTGGAATGTAAGAGTCTTGGCTTTGAGTCTCAGTGTACCATTGAGGTACATTGGTGAATACCTTAACAGCAGACTATTTGAAAGTAAGTATCTGACCAAACACCATGAACTGGATGCTCTCCCTAGTTCAGAAAGTCCCTAAACTGTATAGTGTTTTTAGAGAAAGAAGAGCAGGCTTAGGATGACCTATATTTAGTACTGAAAAGGAGTTTTAATGTTATATATTCTTATGGGAAAATGCATCTCTCAAGTTGGCATACTGTCTGCTGCACTGTCGATTCAATTTCTGTTTTGTAATCTAGACCAATACTTAACAGTACTTTCATCAGATAATGGAGCAGCTCTATAAGGAGATATTAAGAGGTACAGATACAGGAATAGTTGGTGTTCAGTTCATTTATCCACATTACCTTGTTGACTACAGACATGTTTAGCTCTACCTCTTATTTTTCTTCTGTTCAGAAAATCAGCCCTGGTACTAAATATACACATATTAATAAAAAAGTCAGTTTCAATGAAGAAAGAGGGGTACAGGTTTTCCATCCTCTAAAAAGTGGGAGTAGATTTATTGTTGCATAGAAATCAATTTCGTAATAATGAATTGATATTTACTGTTAGGGTGGTGAAGCACTGGAATGGGTTACCCAGGGAGGTTGTGAATGCTCCATCCCTGGCGGTGTTCAAGGCCAGGTTGGACAAAGCCTTGGGTGGCACAGTTTTGTGTGAGATGTTCCTGCCCGTGGCAGGGGGGTTGGAACTAGATGATCTTAAGGTCCTTTCCAAACCTAACTATTCTATGATTCTATGATTCCATATCAGTATTTCCTAAGATGTCCTCAACTGACCTTTAAGACATCCACATTGGTGTGTGACCATTTAGTAAGCATTATATGCATAAATATTTCAAAGTATTGTCTTTCATTCACTCATATGATTGCTTAGGAAGTTGAGCACAAGATAAAGTAGTTCTGCCACTGATCTACTGCACTTTTGAGTTGGCTACTTAAAACTTCTAATCATGTTTTCATCCTGCTATTCAAGATGCTAAGATTTCTGAGGTCCAGTGGGTCTGGCATGTGGTTTGGGTCCCATTTCTAAGATGAAGCTAGTAGGTACTCTGACACTGATACATTATCATGATGGGTTTCATCAGCAATTTAAAAAAAAATGTGAAACAGAACAATATATTGTGTTGTTTGTAAGTGGTACTGTAAAATATCAATGCAAATTAATATTACTATAGTGTTCTAAATGTTAAGATACAGTCTTTGACATATTTCTGACCAATAAAAATGGGTTGATAATTGACACAGCTACAATTATGAAGTTGAGAACAGTATATTTAAAGATTAAAAATTAAGTCTATGAAAAATCAGAAATTGCCCAATTAACATGGTCAGCAGAATACCTAGGAATAAATCGTATTCTCTCTCGCCCATCTCCACTTTCCCCAGACTATTATGGGTTAAGATGGAGACTTCTGGCATTATTTGTAGCAGCCAGTAGACTTCTTGGACTACCTTAACATCTCACTTAGAGTGACCTCTACACAACCTTCTGTACAAAGCTTAATGGAGAAAAATACACCCTTCTTGTGAAGAAGGCCCTCAGAATGTGTCCATTTGGCTTCTTCAGTGGGTACATTAGAGCAGCTAGTAATTTTTAAAGTACAGCAGCTAAGAGTTGTGTTAAAATGTTACACACAATAGCAGTTTATGTTATTTAAAAACATAGCAAAACCATGTTATGTGTGTTTCTTCTTTTGTATGAAGAAAATCCAGAAAATCAAACTCTTTAAGATCTTCTGATGGAAAAAAAGGGAACCAGAAAGTGGTAGAAGCAGCGTTCTGGTGCGATAAGGTGGGAGCAGCAGAAGGACTCTCTAATGCCTGGAATGAATAAAATGCATCCTGCAATGTTCAAACTTATAGTCTTTTAAATAAAATCCCAAGATGTAAAATAGGTTCCAATAAATAATGTAACAGTTGCAGAATGCTAATGTTGTAGTGAAATGTTATGAAATATAACTTCAGTTATGTACTCTTAATCTGCTGCAGGTAAAGAGAGGATTTTGTTTTCTTCAATTATGCCTTTGTAGTTCAAATTCTTGGATTTAGAATACACATGTTCATTACTTAATTGGCTAATTTACAATTTCAGCAATTCTTAGAACCCTTGTTTTATGCAAGGAATAGAAGGAAATGTAATGAATATGCAAAAGTAATCCCACATTTTAAGGAATATTCAAACTTAATTTAAGACCAAAGTCCAGAACAGTTGATCAGTCTGTATCATAAACTTTAGTAGCATTGTGCTGTGAATTTGGAGGTAATGTTTTTACAAGTACTAAGTAAAGTTCATAAAAATACTGTGTGTTTCAAAGCAATCTAAAAGCAGATGTCTTCAGATGATATAAAAAACCTTTTATTTCATAAATTTTGTTGTATAAATACCTGTTTTACTTTTTAGTATTTCAGATTGTATTTTCACTTGAATAATTTATAATGCTGGAACTAGTTTTTAATCAGCTGCTATTGCAAGCTATCATACTTCAGTGATGTCATCTGCATTTGTTTGTATTAATGCTAATGTTTCTATCAAAATTTGCCTGTGGGAAAACATGCAATTCTGTTTTAAAGAGTTCTACTTATGCCAATACTAAAGAGAAAGCTTATGAAGCTATTGTCAGCTTCTCTGTTTCAGAATGGAAGAAGCATAAATATATTGATATCAGAAATATGTGGTTTTTAAAATTTATTGGTGTATGATAAAGGTGATCTGATCTGTGAATGCATATGCGTGTGTGATTACTTTTTATAATGTAAAAATATGAATGATGATTTACTCAAAATAAAATGTAGGACAATGATGTACATGCATGTTCTTGAAAAAAAAAAAAGCACTCTCAGGGCATCTTTTATAATTAAAATAAATAAAATCATTCACCGTATTTAAAATAATAACAACACTGGATGTATGCGGTCTTGTGTGAAGTACGAAATGTGTCTTTGGATTTAGCAGTGTTTTGCTGTCTGAATTCTTAAGCTTCTTAGATAGCAGTTGGTTATAGGAGTATTCTCTGTTTAGTCACAGACATTGTTTGGATTCTGTGAAAACACTCAGGTTTTCTGTTTGTTCTGTTGCCTGGCATAGGATCTTGTAAATCACAGGTTTCTTTAAAGGCTTCTTCAAGTATTATGGTGTTTAACATTCAGTATTGGTTCAGATGCACAGATGACCTATACTGGCTCCTCCTAGGTTCTGCATTTGTCTCATTAATAAAAACAGTTACTCGCAGTTCCCCAGGGACAACTAACATCCCAGCTACAGCTGCTCACCCATGGGCAGCAGGAGACTGCTCAATCTGTTCAGTCTGACTTCTGCCAGGGACCAAACTCAGATCAGAAATGGCTAGCTGCAGAACAGGACTCAAAACTGTGTTTAACCCTCCAGTGCCTTTAATAGAGCAATGCAGAACAGCAAGTAAGTTCAGAAACTTGAATCCAATCTATTTCTTCTCTTAATAAGCATGTGATGAGTTCTAATACAGTCTGTCTTTTGTTTCTTATTGGCTGTCATATGTCTGTCACTTCTAACTGGTTAATTAATTTAATGCTGATAACACATGCTCCACTCAATAACCCTACTGTGTGTTAAATTCCTGCTATGTAAGCTTTAATTGCTTTATTTAGAAATTTTTTGGTCTGCACATCTTCCTTGTACAATGCACCTGACATCTTCTGTATACCTTCATAAGTCTGTCACACTACAGACCTCCATCCCAGAAATCTTTTTTGGGGCTGCTTACTTCTGGGTTACTTCTGTTGGACAGCACCAATACATCTGACCCTTTTGCAGCATTGTTTTTTACCTGCAACTCAGACTAACAGCTGTAAGTCAACTGTGCAGTGCTAACCAGGTGGCTCTTATATAGAGCAGCATTTCTCCAATTACTCATTCAGAAACAGAAATGAGTGATTCTTTTTCTTTCCTGGTACATTCGTACTGCAATGTGGAGTTAGGTTAGATGCACCTTTGTATTTTAGTCAGATACCAGTATCTGTCTGCTAAATACTTTTGCGAGTGGCCTACACCAGTGTCACAGTTGCTGTGGGTAGACCTCTAGTGGTAACTGACATGATTTTTAGAGGTATTTATCAGCTTTACCCTGTAATATATCTTCTGCATCTTCTCTTGCAGATGCATCTGTCTGTGTGTGTTTACTGATAAACACCTTTGAAGTTTCTATGTCAAATGATCTTGAAAACTCTTCTGTCCCCTTTTGGGCAGCTATTTGTGAAGGCTGTATGAGCAAGTAGAGTAACGTTTAGGTCTTTTAGTTAGATATAGCTGGAAGCAGCTTTTCACGTTGTTCCATGCTTAATACATAGGACTGCTGCTATTAAAAATGTACTAAATGTTAAATACTTGCTGTTTGGTTGGAATCACTGCGCTGCTTGAATAGAGTGAATTGTATCTTGATCATAGAAATATTTTTCTGAAACATTTTTGTTGCTCCTTTTGGATTTTAGGATCAACTCTGTGAACAGATTTATTCCACTTTTATGGAAGTGTGTTTTTTCCTGCCAAAGTCTGTTTTAATTCAGACATAGAGTCCTGTTATGTAGTTCACCCTGACATCTAGATGATAATGCATGCAGAAATTCTGATTTTAGGAGAGGCCTCTCTTGGTATTATAAAGCAGTCCATATTCAGATTTTACATGTTCAGAATATCTGAGTTATTTTTCAGAATTATTTTGTCTTTAATAGAAAGAATATTTGAAAAGCAGACACACCAAGTACCTGGAGAAAATGATAATCTGAATAAACACTTTGAAAGAGGTCACACTCCAAGCCACTGCAGACTTCATGATAGATTGAGTGTAATTTCTGCAATAATAAAACCTCTAGGCAGAGGCGGTGAATTCTCTTTTAGGGCTTGATCCTGCTTCTTTATAAGTGGCAAAATTCAACTAACACTGAGGTCAGTGGGTTCTTCAGTCTCATTTAAACAGAAGATAATATTGAGGAATATCAAGCCTGCAGTGTTCAGGAATAAGCTTCCTGAATATTTCCAAAGTTCAGTTTTGTGTTTGCCTTTTTTTTTTTTTCTATTTATTTTTAATTTCTTGGGAGTTTTTAATCTGCAGGGTACATTTTACAAGACAGATTTTTTCACTTTGGGCCTTAGTGAATTTAGCTTGTTACTTGGGCATTAATATAAATAGGATGACCTATTGCTAGCTGGAAGGACGAAATAGGTTTTTATATTTTCATATTTCACTGTCTTTTTACTCTAATGTAAATTAATAAAACAGTGTCTTGGTTTCAGCTGGGATGCAGTTAATTTTCTTCCTAGTAACTTGGCCCAGTGCAGTGTTTTGGCTTTAGTCTGAGAATAATGCTGATAACACACTGATGTATAGCTGCTGCTATGCAGCATTTACCTTGGTCAATGACTTTTCAGTCTCTCATGGTTTGCTAGTGAGGAGGGGCATGAGAAGCCGGGAGAGAGCAGAGACAGGACACTTAACCTAAAGCAGCCAATGGGATATTCCGTGCAGGCATGTCATGCCCTGTATATATGGCCACCAGGGGAGGCCAGAAGAGGCCGCTCGTGTCAGGGTGAACATTGCTCAGCAGGCCGTGAGCAGTTGTATTGTGCATCACTTCCTTTTCTTGGGTTTTATTCCTCTTGCTCTCTTCTTGTTACCTCCCTTTTCATTACACTTATTAAATTTTATTACAAGTATTAAACTATTCTTATCTCAATCCATGGATTTTACAGTTTTCCAGTTCTCCACCTCATCACACTAGGGGGACGAAGGGGAGTGAGCAAGCTGCTGCATGATACATAGTTGTCAGCTGGGGTTAGACCATGACAAATGGAAATAAAGCCTCTTACACAGCCCAGTAAGCAAAGTGCTTTCTTTATTTACATTTCTGTTGGATCAACTAACCTGCCAATGAACAGTAATGTTTTAAAAGTTTCTTCAAAAATCATAAAAAGGAATGGTCGGTCCACTTTGATGACAGGAGGCACTGTGAATGCAGTTATTTCTGACCCACTAGCTGCTGTGGCTTCAGTTCCTTCTTCATCCACTTCAATTACTGCCTTTTGGACAACCTGAAATGCAATTTAGAAATAAGCTATGTGACAGAGATAAATATTAACATGACAAATGTTTTTCCAAGTGCAAGGCGCTCAGTTTAAATAGGCTTTTATTAAGGATTACAAGGAGTAGGCCTGTGCAATCTAGCTCTGTCTGCTAGAATGGTAGACCCTTGTGCTGTCTACTTTAGCAGCAGAGGGGATAGTACAACCACCATGACCACAGTACTTAACAGTGTGGATGCTAGTATGCTTTTCTACATTTCTGAGCATAGAGGTTTTGTACTTGCAAGTGGTAGCATGAAGCAACCATTGCATTTGTATAGTGCTCCTTTTTGACATCTAACAAGGGAGAGTTTCTCAAAAGTGTGAAGTCTGTTTCATCAGTCACAAAAACTGACTGTCTGGATATGTAATTCACAGTTGATTTTGTGAGAGCTTGGGCAAGTTTGCCAATCATCTTGGCTTTTTTTTTCCTCTATTTTTTTAATTTCTATATTTCATAGCACAGAGTAAGTATGTAAAGCAATGAGGTACAATCCTGGATTGGTCTGAGGATCTTCCCTCCCCATTGAAACTGTGGCCTGCCAAGGTGTAGTACTTTCCCATTTTTGTTCTTTCAGCTTGCATGTATTTCTGGGCACTGTCTCTGTGTTTGGATCTGTATCAGTGAGCTGCTTAGGCAGCTAGTGCGTTCCCAACTCCCAGACTCCTAATTCTAAGACTGACTTATGTAAAGGCAGTTGAAGGACTTCATCAGTGTTGAGCTCTCTGCTAAACATTCTTAAATAATGAAGCTGGATACCGTTATTTACAGGGACAGGATGCTCCTCTGGCACTTTGTAGCTGATGAATATATTACTTTGAATTTCAGCAAGCACTTACTCAAGTGTGATTTTTTCATAACTCAATAGAGTTAACTGCTGGCAATCAGCATGAAATAGTTGTATGATTAAGAGAAAGGGAGAAAAGCATTGCAGATTGCCACTGTGTTTCACAAAAGTGAGATAGTTTATACCAAACTGAAAATTACTGTGATTTTATCTGTTACATATTTATTGTTAGGATGTTATGTTTTACCAGAAAGGTTATTTTGTTAAACCAGCACAATTTTAAAAACTCTAGTTCAGGGCTTAGTATTTTTGCAACTTGTATAGAGGTGTTTATCATACCACCTGTTAACAGTTTTGGCAAATCACAAAGGCTTCTGTAAGGATTTGGTGTAGGGAGACTTGCAACAGCATCACCAGTAGCTTAGAAGCTTGCTTTCTGATAGAATACAAATACCTGAAGGGAGGGTGCCTCCCTCCGTTCCTCCTTTTCTCCTTCTTTCCCTCCTTCTTTCCTTTCTTCCTGCCTGCTTCCCTCACTTTCTGCCTTCTTTCCTTCATTCTCTTGCTCCCTCCCTCCCTCTGGCTTTTCCAATTTGACTGTCATTTTCAATGTCTTTCTTGCTCTTGTTATTGTTCAATTGTACTCATTCCTTGCCAACCATATTCTTCTTCAGGCAGAGCTTTCCTCCTTTGATGTGTTAACTTTGTTTTGAAAACCTATGAAATATTACTGCCACTTAGGTACACTTAATGCTTGAAGCGAGATCCATACTGGTTAAGGTGTGTGGATTGCACATATTTGGCAGATGAGGTCCTTTCCTGTTAGTGCACCTGTAAGTGTATATGACATAGTCTCTTGCCTGGGCCATTTATGTACTATGATAATCCAAGTAGCAAATAATTTTGGAAGGCTTACCTGTGAAACTGCTACATATTCTTGATCTGTGAGATGACTGAGATCTGCTGAACGTGTAAAGAGATTTTTAATTCCAAG